TCCCCTATTCATTGACCCTTCCCACCCTAATCAGTGATCCACATAGGCATGCATCCTTCTTAATTATGTAATCATCAAAACTAAAATTTAAAAAAAAAGATTATTTGCCGGGGGATCTAACATTCAGCCCAATGCTTGCACTCAGAGTTAGCGTCTTTGTTAGACTCAGATGAACATGTGGTCAAGCTCGTGGTTAAGATCCTATGTGATGTGACATCGTGTCCCCTCCCCTGCCCCGTCATTGCTGGGGAAGTGTTATTATTACATGCATTTGCACGAATGGGACCTATTTTAGAAACCTTGGAACCAAGTGACAGATGGAGCTTACCTTTCCACTGGCACCATAAAGCACTTAAAAAAAAAAAACTAGTTTATTTTTATTTAAAAAGCAGGTTTACAGAGAGAGAGAAAGATCTTCCATCCACCAGTTCTCTCTTCAAATGACACAAGGGTTGGAGCTGAGCTTGATCCTAAGCCAGGAACCAGGAACCTCTTCTGGGTCTCCCATGTGGGAGCAGAAACCCAAAACCCAGGCCATCCTCTGCTGTTCTCCCAGACCATATACAAGGAAGGGGACCAGAAGTGGAGCAGCAGAACTTGAACTGGCACCCGTATGGGATACTGTTGCTGCAAGCAGACTTAGCCTTCCAAGTTGCCATGCCAACCCCCACAACATACTTTCTGACAGCACAGATATATGTTTTAAATTAAATCTAACCTTTCACAGTTTCTTTTTGTAATTAATCATTCATTTGAAAGTCAGAATTACAGAGCCCAGCGTGATAGCCTAGTGGTAAAGTCCTTGTCTTGCACGCACCAGGATCCCATATGAGCACTGACTTGTGTTCCATATGAGTACATGCCTGGGGTCCCATGTGGGTGCTGGTTCTAATCCCAACAGTCCCGTTTCCCATCCAGCTCCCTGCTTGTACAGGCCTGGAAAAGCAGTCGAGGACGGCCCAATGCTTTGGGATCCTATACCTGTGTGGGAGGCCAGAAGAAGCTCCTGGCTTGGATAAGCTCAGCTCCAGCCATTGTGGCCACTTGAGGAATGAATAAGCAGACAGAAGATCTTCCTTTCTGTCTCTCCTCCCCTCTGTATATCTGCCTTTCCAATAAAACTAAATAAATGTTTTTTAAATAAATAAATAAATCTTCAAAAAAATAAGTCAGAGTTCTTTCATCTATTGGTTCATTCCCCAGATAACCATAATGGCCAGAGCTGCCCCACGCTGAAGCCAGGAACCTGGAACCCCATCCAGGTCTCCCACATGGGTGGCAGGGGGCCCAGGCCCTTGGGCCATCTTTTGCTGCTTTCCCAGGCCATAAGCCGGGAGTTGGATCAGAAGTGGAGCAGCTGGGACTCGAAGTGGTGCCCGTATGGGATCCCGGCGCTGCAGGCGGTGAAGACTCGGCGCTGCAGGCGGTGAAGACTCAGCTTGTGACAATTTTGATGTTGTCATTCAACAACAGCCTTCATGGTTGGCTTCAGCTGACACAGGACTTCCCGCGGGAACTCCGTACCCTGACTTTCATTTCTCCCAGCAGCCTAGGGGAAGGGAGAGCTTTCCAGTGCTGAGAACGGAGAATCCCAGAGAATTCAGAGAATTCAGACTTCTTCTCCCCCACTCCCCCAAAGCCTCAGGCCCTGACTTCCAGGTAGCTAGCTGCACCCCCACGACCTGTCAGCCACTCAGTCTCCGCCCACAGGCCACCCACTCACAGAGCCAGGTTTTGCTGTGTCCCAGGTTGAGTCTGGCTTTAATGGTCTGTGACTACAAGCCTGACCTCTTTGGGTCTCAGTTTTCCTCTGTACATTGGGGCCGGTCCCCTTTCCATGAAAACTTCCTTGGGCTGCCCATCTTTAATCTCTGTGTAATGTGTGCAGTAATGACTGGGACACCTCACCATGCCTGGTTCTCTTGTGTCCTGAAGCTTGGACCGGTGCTGTTCCTTTTGCAGGTGACATTCCTCCTAATGTTGCTTTTCCAGTTTGTCTATTGAGGGTGAATGCTTGGGTAGGAGCAGGGAGCATGAAAGCAAAGCAGGCAATGTGGGTGTAATGTTGTCCGCTCCTTGGGCCCCGCGCCAGCACCTGCTCCTGTCTGTCAGCGGGCAGCTCCTGCAAGACGGAAGTGGAGGGGGCTGGACTGGCTGCTAAGGACACAAGGAGAGCCTCTGCAGAGTTTAAAGCCCTAGGGGCCATGGCTGTTGTACATACAGTCTGCGGGCTGCTGGGCAGTGGGACTGCAATCACAGTCTAGCCAGGGGCCTCCCGGGGCTGCCCAGAAGAGTGTGATGGTGGCAGGCATGCAGGTGGAGAGAGGCAGGCAGCTTCCACGTGCTGTGCTGATTCCCAGCTGTGCACACACCTTTGAGCAGAGGAGGGCTTCTCAGGCTCCCTGGGGGGAGAGAAGTGTTACCATCAGTAATGACCTGTCCTGCGGGGTTCCTCGGGAGCCCAGGAGGGGGGAAAGAGATAGATCTGGAGTGCCTCTGAGATTCCTGTTTTGGTTTTTTGTTGTTATTTTGGTTTTTGGTGTTTTGTTTGTTTGCTTGTTTGTTTGTTTTTAACTTGAAAGGCAGATTTTACAGAGAGGACAGAGAGAGAGAGAGAGAGAGATCTTCCATCCACTGGTTCACTTGCCAAATGGTCACATAGCTGGAGTTGGTCCAGTCCAAAGCCAGGAGCCAGGTGCTTCCTCTTTGTCTCCCATGTGGATTCAGGGGCCCAAAGACTTGGGCCATCTTCTGCTGCTTTCCCAGGCCACAAGTAGAGAGCTGCATTGAAAGTGGAGCAAGCAGGACACAAACTGTTACCCATGTGGGGGTGCCAGTGCTGTGAGGCAGAGGATTAGCCTGGTGAGCCACCAGGCCAGCTCCAGGGACTTCTGGCTTAAGGAACTGTATGGATTAATGAGAAATGACTCAGCAGTGGGCACGCCAGGTCCGGGAAGAGGCGGGAGGAAGGGCTATTTTAGGATGTGTGGTGGAATATGTTAGTGTCCTCATCGTATCTCAGGCCTCTGGGGCTTGGTCCTCACGGCCATGGGCAGAGCAGGGCGGGTCCAGCACAGGCAGCTGGAGGGACAGAACTAGGTGGCAAAACCAACAGGCAAATCCCTTGAAAGGCAAAGCCAGCAGACATGCTTGGGCATCTCGGGGTGGGTCATGTCACCATCAGACCTGCACCCCACATGCATAAACAGGCGAGCTGGCAGTGCCCAGCCCCATCTCCCAGACACTTACTAGAGTGGTGCGATGGCAAGCAGAAACAACTTCTCTCCACTCTGGGCTAGGAGAACCTGCACGCTTGGAGCTGCAGGCCTGTGCCTGGTCCCTGGCTGTGGGAGATCACCCCTGGATTTCTGCCTGTTACCCGGTGGGCGTGACTCACAGCTTACCTGCCCATGACCTGAAGCACAGCTTCCAGTCCTGCGTGCAGAACGTGACCTCTGACATGACCAGAAGAACACAGCCGCCTCACCGTTTGGTGACCGTGGGGCTTGCTGGTCAGGACCCCTCCCCCCCCCCACCCGCTGAGGCTTGGCACCAGGTAGGATACAAGCAGGTGCTTGCTGGGCGTGCTGGCTGCCCTGCTCCATGTGCATGCCCGTGACCAGCACAAGACCAGGGCATTCTGACACCTGCAACCCTGCAGCCATGGCCCTGACCAGCAGGTAGCTAAGGGTTTGGGGGTGCAGAGTCAGGTTATGAGGTACAACAAAGGGGACTCAGAATATCCCCGGAGGCCGCACAACAGGGAGCTACCGACAGACACCATTGATAAAGTAGTTGTAATCATCTTATTAAATTCTTTATAATTAGTTAATTTAATTAATATTAAATTATTTGTAATTACCATGAGTGGGTATACTTTAATTTGTTGTTTTTAATTTTTATTCACTTGAAGCCGAGAAAGAGCCAACGATCTATCTTATCTTGGTCCACTGTTCAAAGTCCCCCGGGGGCCAGCGCTGAGCCAGGTCTAGAACATGGTAGGCAATGGCAGGGACCAGGACCGCAGCAGCGGGAAGTGGAACTCAGAAGTAAAGCAGGCGGGACTTGAACCAGGCACTCTGATGACAAGCCTGTGTCCTGGGCAGCCTACCTGCTGTATCAGACTCCCTCCCCGGGGGGGACGGACTTTTTCCGATGAATCTCACACACACACAGAGGCTTGGTGATGCAACCGGAAGGAGACGCCTGTCTCAGGGACCATGAGCCAGGACCTCGGGCTGTTCTTTGGGGGCTCAGAACATGCCTTCTGCTGTCGGACAGGGTCCCCAGAATCCAGCCCCTGCTGTTCCTAAGGCAGCGCTGGCAGTGTGCGTGTCTAGGTCCTTTCTCGACTGCTGGAAAAACTGCCAGATAGTTCATAAACAGTGGCTGCAAGGAGCTACTGATTTGCCACGCCAAACCCTCCTGCTCTATTCCTTTCCAGTCCTAATGTAAACGACTTGACATCCACCAATGCGGTCCTTAGTAACCACGAGCTTATTTTGTGCTTACTAAATGAGATCCTGTTTTGTTTTGTTTTTTTACACATAATATCATTTAATCTTTCATAAATGCTCATAGAACATACGAGTTCTCCTCTCCGCGATGGAGATAAGGAAATATTCAGTAAGAAGCGCAGATGAGTTGCATTTTGCAAAACAAAGTGATGGTTTGGTATTCCAAATTATGACCTTGCATCTTAAAGGTTGCAAAGCACTGAGCACCGGCTTCACTCGTGTCAATTTTTCCTGCCCCATCTTTCAAACAGGCATCATGCCAGCCGTCTCTTCGGGGAGGCGGCCGGAGTGACTGAGGGAACGCAGCGTGTGTCCAGCGACCCCCTTCTCACCACCCCGGGGCCGGTGGGGAACCGCGCACTCCTGGTTCTCCCAGACCTGCGCGCAGGCCTCACCGCCGGCCGCCAGGGGCCGCTGTGACGCGGCTGCAGCCCGGCGCTGGCCGCTCTAGGCCGGCGAGGGGGAACGTCGCCGTGCCTCGCCGTGCGCCCGCGCCTCGCCGTGTGTGCCGCCGCTCGCCCTCGGTGCTGACCTGCTGCCCCCGCTGCCCACCATGGCCCTGCTGCACTCGGCCCGCGCCCTCTCCGCGCTGCCCGCCGCCTTCCACCCAGGCCTCGCCGCCGCAGCCTCTGCCAGAGCCAGGTAAGCCGAGACCGACGGCTGCGGCTGCGCCAGGACGTGCTGCCGACCCCCGGCTGCCCTGCGCCGTGCGGCCGAGGCACGGAGCGTCCTGAGCGCCTCCCAGGGACCCTCAGAGTCCCGCATCCTTCCCCGCGCCGGGCACCTCAGGAGAGGCGGGGAGGGAGGTGGGAGGAAGCGTGGCCCTCTGCAGCAGCACCAAGGCTCCCCACCCGTTCTGGGGTCTGGAGAGGACGAGGGGCGGCGGGGTGAGGGGAGAGCACGCGGGCGGCGGCCCCGGTGCCAGGCTCGCGCCGATTGGCCGAGGTGCTGGGGGGCAGGCCGGGGTGGACGCGTGTGTCCTTGACAGGCCATCGGGGTGGAGGGTGGGGTGCGCACCTGTCGTGGCCTCCCCAGGGCGGCTGCAGCCTCAGCTGGGCCGCAGCCCGCGCTCAGGCCTCGCCCTCCACGCTGCATCCCATGACCTTGGCGTGCGGCATCCTCTGTCCATGTCACAGCCCGAGTCCGCGGTGACCACCCCCACCCCCACCAACACCACCAGGGACCCGGTCTGGCCTTCAGGCAGGAGGTCCAGCTGTCTTGAGCTTCATGCTTTTTTTTTTTTTTAAATCCTTTGAAGCCCCGAGTTGGAGGGAACTCTTGTTCTCTGCATCCCTAACTGTGCTCTTTCATTCAGTAGATCTTTCTTAACCTTGCTTCCTCAGAGCCGGGCACTGGTCCAGTTGTCGGCCCTAGAGGCTCGAACAAGCCTGTGGGAAGGACAGGCTTGGTGCCCAGAGCACAGGTGTCATTTGGCACTGTGATGGGGGATGCAAAAGGGAAATTAAAAAAAAAAAGCGCACAGAGTTCTTTCCGGTGGAAACCTGAGCCAGGGGATTAACTTTCTCAGGGATTCGAGTGCCTCGTTCCTCTGGTGAGGAACCAACCAAGTTTTAAAACCGCCGCCCCCTCTCCAGGCAGGTAACTGCGGGCGGTTTCCCTTGCCCTTTCGCGCTGGCCTTTGCTCTAGGCCCGCAGAACAGCCTGTCCTCTGCCAGCGCCGGCTGGCTGGGGCAGTAGGGTTTCGCCTAAGCTTTGACACTTTCTGCTCTCCCTGATTTGGGTCCTTCCTGGCACACGGTGCTTGCTCTTTAAGCCTGCCAACCTAGTGGGCCTCATAGACAAGGAGTTCTACCAGCAGCAGCCAAGGTGAAGGACAAAACAGGGGTCCCTAACAGTGTGGACCAGTATGTTTCCCCGCTGTGATAATCTTCAAGTAATTCCTTGTTTCAAGGGATTTGGCTGGGGGGGCGTCAGCTAAAGGGCTTAGTGAAAATCCCTGCGGGGTGTGACCTTCCAGGCATTCTTTGGGGCTGACTCATTTACTTTTTCCTGTCTTTTCCCCATTAGAATGTAAGTTTAAGGAGAGCAGAGTCCTTACTTTTGTGTTTTAACAATGAACAACAGTGTCAGACGTGTAGGCTTATTTTAAGCGCCGACTTTTAGCTTAGCAACAAAACCAGAATATTTTAATGCTGTGTCTTAGGCCAAAAAGTGCAAGGCTGTTGCTGAGATGTGCATGGTAAGCCACCCCCTGTGGTGCTGTGCCCAGTTGGAGTCCTGGCTCCACTTCCCATCCAGCTCCCTGCCTGTGGACTGAGAAAGCAGTCGAGGACTGCCCAAAGCCTTGGGACCCTGCATCCACCTGGGAGACCCAGAATTGCTCCTGGCTCCTGGCTTCAGATCGCGCAGCTCCAGCTATTACTGTCCCTTGGGGAGTGAATCAACAGACTGGAAGATCTTCCTCTCTGTCCCTCCTCCTCTCTGTATATATCTGACTTTGCAATAAAAATAAATAAATAAATCTTTAAATCTTTAAAAAAAAAAAAAGATAACATCAGTACCAACCTACTGCTTGGGGTTTATACACTGCCGCATGGTTGGATGATAGCACCAGGTACCAGACCATCACTTGGGGAGTGATCCAGTAGATAGAAGATCTCCCTCTCTGTCTCTCCTCTCTGTTCATCTAGTCTGCCTTTCCAATAAAAACTCCGTCCATTGTGGAAGTGTGTGTGTGTGTGTGTGTATATATATATATATATATATATATATATATATATTTTTTTTTTTTTTAAGATTCATCTGTTTTTACTAGAAGGGCAGATTTACACAGAGGCAGAGAAAAGATCTTCCATCGTCTGTTTCACTGCCTAATTGGCTGCAGTGGCCAAAGCTGAGCTGATCTGAAGCCAGGAACCAAGAGGCTCTTCTGAGTCTCCTATAAGAAGATGTGATGGAAAAGAATTTTGAAAACTGCACAACACTGAGCAGGCTTAAGCCTCCTGGAAATTGCGAGGCATTTGGCCTGGAAATGCTTATCTGAATGTTTTGTACTGAACATCTTTTGGTTGGTTGGTCAATATTGCTCAATGTTGAAGCTTTGTACTTACGTTCAAAGTACAGTGATAGGAGTCCCTGTGTGGGTCACAGGTTATCAGCATCAGCTTTGCCCCTGGAGTACTCTTGTTTTGCTCTAAAGCTATGCCTGCAAAAGCATCAGGTACTTACAGTGTGTTTCTATGCAATTTTAAAGAGAATAAGAAAGGCCATTGATGACTTGAAACGTGGTTGCTCATGTAGGACTAATCAAATTAAGCACCCCTGTTCCTATACTTAGAGTGTTTGAAATACAGTTTTTGGGGGGCTGTCATGGTGGCTCAGCATGCTAATCTTCCACCTTGTAGTCCAGCATCCCATACGGATGCCAGTTTGTGTTCCAGCTGCTCCTTTTATATAGATAGGTAGGTAGGTAGGTAGATAGATAGATATTACATAGTATATAAGTATATAATAACTATGTAAATATGTAAGTATATATTTATTTATTTATTTATTTTTATTGGAAAGCCAGACATACAGAGAGGAAGATCTTCTGCCCACTAATTCATTCCCTAAGTGGCTGCAATAGCCGGAACTGAGCTGGTCTGGAGCCAGGAGCTTCTTCTAGGTCTCCCACATGGGTGCCGGGTCCCAAGGCTTCAGGCTGTCCTTGAATGCTTTTCCAGGCCACAAGCAGGGAGCTGGATGTGAAGCGGGGCCGCCAGGATGTGAACCTGCACCCATATGGGATCCCAGTGCGTGTAAGGCAAGGACTTGAGCCACTAAGCTACTGCACCAAGCCCCAGCTGCTCCATTTTCAGTCCAAGCCTGGGAAAGCTACAGACGATGGCCCAAGCACTTGGACACGTGCACCTAGATGGGAAATCCGGAAGAGGCTCCTGGCTGCTAGCTCAGCTCTAGACATTGCAAAGTATTGAGAGATTGAACCCGTGTGTGGAAGATCTTTCTGTCTCTCCTACTCTCTGTAAATCTGCCTTTTGAACAAAAATAATTTTTTAAAAAATGCAGTTTGGGGGCCAGCATAGTGACTCAATCCTTTACCTCCGTGGGCTTCTCCATCCTCCCATGTGGGTGCAGGATTCCGAGGCTTTGGGTCAGCCTTTGCTGCTTTCCCAGGCTACAACAAGGAAGTAGAGTATCCAGGACATGAACCAGCGCCCTCCCTGCACCTGCAAGGGGAGGATTAGCTCATGGAGCTATCATGCGGAGCCCTCTTTTTTCATTCTTAAGTGTCTTCCTGGAATGCCCAAGTGGCCGCAATGGCCAGAGCTGAACTGATGCAAAGACAGGAGCCAGGAGCCTCTTCCAGGTCTCCCTCATCTGTTCAGGGTCCCAAGGCTTTGGGCCGTCCTCGACTGCTTTCCCAGGCCACAAGCAGGGAGCTGGATGGGAGGCAGGGGGCTGCTGGGATGAGAACCGGCGCCCATGTGGGATCCCAGTGCACACAATGTGAGGACTTTAGCCACTAGGCTACCATGCCAGTCCCCAGCTCTGTCTTCTATGCAAACTAATGTGTGTTGCAGTCCAGTCCTATCCTGCCCACTGCACACTCGTCCCCCATGCAAACCAATGGGAGCTGAAGCCTAGTTGGAGCAGACTCGGCTTGCCCCAGACCTGAGCCAAATGTAAGCCCGTGGGTACCATAACCTGGCCTCGTCTGGGCTATTCCCTTTCTTGATTCTTGTGCTCACCTGCAGGAACTGTGTCCTGATGGGAGTTGCCAAGCTCCTCCATCAGAACCTCTCCCTATGCCAGATACCGTCTACACTGGTGGGTCCATGGGTCTGTCCTACTTAGTCCACCTCCTGTCCTAGCCTTTCCTAACCAGCCCTCACCCATTCCGGTTATTGTTGTTGGGTACTACAACCCAGCCAAACCTGGTCCTTACCCAGACACAGCGCATGCTTGGCTCAGCAGGGACAGAGACCTAGCCCAACCCGTCCTACACCCATCCTGATTCTCACAAGCTGCCATGGGTACTAGAGTCTAACCCAGTCTTGCATGCCCCAGACCCAGTCCACACCCAGCTGAGGGAGACTGCATCCATGTCCAGACCAAACTGCAGCCCTCACTTTGGCCCCCACACTCACCAGTGGGACCCACAACCCAGCCAGGACATCTGCTTACTTCCCCAACCAGGCCTGATCCCGGCACAGATCCCATGCATGCCAGTGGTTGCTCTGGCCTAGCTTGGCATAGCCTCTCCCCTGTTTTGACCTTTGTCTTCAGATGCTGCAGCCTTGCCTGGCCCGTCCTGGCTGCTAATTCCAGCTCTCACTGGCAGGTGCTGCACCCTGGCCCTGCATGACCTGCACTCTATCTTGGCTTCTGCATTTGCCAGTGGGCAATGGTTTGCTTGGCCCTGCCCACTCCAACCGCTTCCAAAACCAATTCACATACTTACCACAGGATGGAGCTACCCTGCCCAGCCTGCCCAGCACCCAGGCCTGGACCACGTGCTCATTGGCAGGAGGTGTGACCCACTAGGGAAATTTCCCAGGCTCCCCCACTTGGGCCATTCCCAGGCCCTAATCTCACTTGTGCTTGTCCCTTACCTAACATGACCTGCCCCATCTGTCCTGGCCTTTGTATGAGCTGGTGCAGCCCAGCCTGCCCCACACCCTGTTTTAGGGTGCTCATGCAGGTGTTGCAGCCTGGTCCTGCCCCACTTGCTCCCAGCCCCAGTACCAATGAGCATTGGTAAGTTCCATGTTCATGCCCATCATTCCAACTCCCAAGCTAAGCAGCGGGACTTGTGGTTCCATAGGGTTGGCCTCCATATCCTCCACAGGATCCACTCCTGGACCTGGTTCTTGCGTGCTAGTTGATGTCATGGCCCCGTCTGTTGTGACCCAGCCATGTCATACCGGCTCCCAGGCATGGCTTGTGTATGCACTGACGTGTGGTAGTCAGCTGTATTCCACGCTGACAAGCCCAACCCAGGATTTCCATGTGGGCTGATGCATCAGTCTGACCCATAAAGATCTTCAAGTCTCTCTGCTCCAAACCACCAGGTTTCAGTCCCCTCGCTGACCTGCAAGTACAGTGGCTCTGTGTTGGGTGTCCCTCAGGATTCATTCCTCAGTGACCGTATCCATTGGTGTCCCTAGGCAGTAATTCCAGACCCGCAAAAGGCCAGGATCCTACCCCCACCTAGCAGTGGTGGATGGGGAGCCAGGATCCCAAGCAGGAAGCCTGGGCCAGCACGGGTACCCCCAGCCACAGCCACATGGCTGGTGGATCCAGATACCGATGCCTCTGGCCAGACTTACCTCAAAATAAATAAATCTTTTTTAAAAAATAAAACCCTTGAGCTTGTAGGAGTGGTGCCTACCTCCGGCCCCTGCCTCCAAGTTCCTGGTGACACAGGCCCTGACAGGCAACAACAGGGTGGCTCAAGCAGAGTACTCACACCAGGCCAGCTCAGGAAGACCCGAGTTCTGTTCCTGCCTTGGGTAGTCAGCATTGGAAGACTGAAACAACAGACAGAAGGGTGTTTTCCCTGCTCTGCCTCCTGCCCTCTTCCTCTCCCCCTCCCTCCTCTCATATTTAGAGGAGAAAGAAAAGCTTCTTGCTTATTTACCCCAAAGAAAGGGGGTAGAATGGTCTTCTTTTTTCCCCATAAAAATAGTTTTTATTGGGGGTGAGGGCCTCAGTCTGATACATTAATGTATCCATTCTGGCAGGAGGCTATTTATGGGAAGAAGGGACAGTACTTTCCAAAGGACCACTAGGAAATTTAAAAATAAAAGCCAAGTTGTGTTTTCTGTATTTCAGATCCACTCTTAGAGATCCAAGCTTAAAAAGATAAATGATATTTGGTCACTTGATGAAGATAGGAATGGGCATACCTCAGAGAAATCACCATTGATTACCTATTTAGTTAAAATGTCAACAAAACATTAAAATTAAACATACAAATGCAAGGAACCTTGGCTCTTCCGTGTGTGAGAAACAGTTTTTTGGTTTGGGTTCAATAAGATGGGTGGGTGTTGTAGTGCAGCTGCCTAGACTGCGGCTCTCCTGTCCTGGCTCCCTACAGTGCGCCGGGGAAGCAGGGGAGGATGGTCCAAGTGTTTGAGTCCCTACCACACATGTCAGCCAGGTGGAGTTTCTGGCACCTGGCCCAGCCCTGGCTTCTGTGGTCATTTAGGAAGTTAACCAGATCTCTTTGTATATTTCTTGTCTGTTGCTTTGTCTTTCAAATAAATCTTTTGATAATTCACATAAAGCATAGACACGTTTTCTAATAAAAACAGAATCTCCAATATCTAGACTGCCCACAAAGTGGGGAAAAATGGTTTTTGTGTTGCAAGTTAGGTCATTGGTTAATGGCTAAACCGAGGAAACTAACCCATCAAGGTTCAGCAAACTTTGTTGAAATGTTGATACACCATAGCTTCTGTCCAAATTCTGTTCTGTTACTATAAACCCAAGACACGGTGTGCGCTCTGTGTTTGCCTGCCTGCTGCTCTGTCACATTTGAAACAAACTGACACTTTGTACAGTAGAAATTGTCTCTCAGGAAGTCTGCATGGTTGCAAGGTCAAAAGGATTTTCATGATAAATTTTGGATGTAATTTGTGGGTGCTTTCTATGTGTTTCTAGGTTGATGCTTTCAAATAAGTAGATATTGTGTTTCCATTTCTTACATGGTAAATACTAATAGTCACGCTGGGTAAGTAAAGGCTCTTTTCAGTTCCCCAGTACTGAAGAGTTGTAAAGGGCCCTCAGACTTCTCTGTGACAATGCTCTATCTCTTTTTCCTTGAAAAACAAAAATATTCAGTTGGATTTCTCTGTCATTGATTCTAGTATCATTAGTTATTTAAACTAAGTAACTTTTGTTGCGGTACACTGTGTGTAGTAAACATGCCAATATTTGTCTGAGTGGACCTCTGGTACTCAGAACCATCCCTGACCTTGAGAATGTAGCAGGTATAATTCTCATTTCAGCTCCTGGTGGGCTCATGTGGAGATGGGCCCCCCAGATCCCATCCTGGGAGTTACAGAAGCCTACAAGAGAGACACAAACAGCAAAAAGATGAATCTGGGCGTTGGCGCCTACCGGGATGATAACGGGAAGCCTTACGTGCTTCCCAGCGTGCGGAAGGTAAGCTTGCCGAGTCGGGGACACGAACAGCCTGAAGGCAGCTCCCCGAGAGGGACAGAGAGAATGGTGATGTCCTAGATGTAAGAATGAAAGCTTCGGGAAGGGGAGTTTGGCACCGCAGTTGAGGTCTCACCCCTGGAACACCCCCGTCCCATAATGCACCAGGCTCAAGTCCCAGCTGTTCCAATTTTCAAGTCAAGTTGCAACTACATGGTCTTTTCTAAGACTGAATTTTCTGTAGGTCTGTGACAGTCTATAAAGAGGGGTGGTGTCATGTTTAAATCTGAGGCTATGCAAAAGGACCAAGATTTAAACAGAGGGAGGAGTAGTCCTTTATGGATGGAACTTAGTGTCATTTCCATTTCTCCCCTCTGGATTGCCTTTATAAACCCTCGTGTTCAGGCACGTCCTGTCCTTTATCTCCACTGAACTAGGAAGTTACTCAGATAGTGTTAGCTATTATTGCGGGCCAGAACATAACCCGGCACTATCGCGTATACCTCACTAGCGCTCAGAAACAGTGACTCTCCACCTGACAGGTGAGGGGCTGGGACTCAGGAAGACGAAACAAGCTGCTGCCCAGAGCCACGCAGCCAATGAGGGACAGCCAGGCCTCTGCCTCCAAAACGTGAGAGGTGCCCATTGCTGCTCCCTCTGCAGTTCTTAGCCTGACATAAACATTGAACTGCCTCTGTGCATTTGGTCTTATCATCTTACATCTACTTTAGGTGTTGTTCTTAAACCTTGTGCCTATGCATTCCACAAATGCCATTTTATGTTAGCTGTATGGGAAGTGCATCGTGTCCCTGCTGCTCTATTTCCCATCCAACTCCCTACTTGTGGCCTGGGAAAGCAGTCAAGGACGGTCCAAAGCCTTGGGACCCTGCACAGATGAGGGAGACCCGGAAGAGGCGCCTGTGATAAAATTGACTCAGCTCCGGCCATTGCAGCCATTTGGGAGTGAACCAGTTTTGGGATAGATCTTTTTTAAAAAAGAGAAAAAAATGATGGATTTGTTGTTGTTGTTGTTGTTGTTGTTCTGTGATATTAAATCCAAGTATTCTGTTTGTCTTTCTTTAACATTAACTTAAAATAGAAAAGAACATACTCCCAAAAAGTAATTTATAAAGTTTTAAATAGTAATTTCTGGAAAAGAGAAGAAAGTAAAATGCTGTATTTTCCCTTGTCTAGGCAGAGGCTCAAATTGCTGCAAAAGGTTTGGACAAGGAATACCTGCCCATTGGGGGCCTGGCTGAATTCTGTAAGGCATCCGCGGAACTAGCCCTGGGCGAGAACAGCGAAGTGCTGAAAAGTGGCCGGGTAAGCTGAGCAGGGGCCAACTTGGAATGTCCACAGACTTCAAATACTTGAAACCAAGAGTGTATGGGCATTGTCTTGAAGTAATCACGCCTTTAAATAGTAAGCCAGCAACAATTACGCAAGATTTCACAATTTCGAAATTGCTCTGGTAATCCTGGAAATGTAGTGATCATTGGACCGACAGGTTTGGTTCTACTGTGGTTATTTATGTGATTATGTTGTTTTGCAGGAGTATGCTTTGGGAATGCTGAGCTTGCCTAGGTTTAGGCCTGTGATTTGCCCCCACACTGGGTGCTAAACTTCCAGCTCAGGATCAGGGACCTGAAAAGGGAACAAGGTCCAGGGTACCGGTACCATGGGGCTGGGACCAGTTGCCTGGCCACCCTGCTTCCAGCTTGTGAAGCACTCCACATGCCTCGTGGCTTGCTTTCTTTGCAGGTGAAAAGGAAACAGTTTTTAATGACTATATTTGTATGACTTTTTGGAAAAATCTGAGAGAAATAACGTGAACAAATTACAAAAATTGAGTGAATGTTCTCTTTCCCCCTCCCACTCTAAAAAGCCCAGATAAATCTGGATCATTTTGGTACGCTCACACATTAAGTTTGTTCACCCAAAAAAGCACAGTGCCTTGACCCCAGGGTAGTGATTATCTTAAGTCACAGGCAGAATGAAGTTTGGTTGCTATCCACACAACTGCCTGTTAGCCCTCTTGAAAGCAGTTTTCATTTCTGCTGTGATTTGGTTTGTAGGCAGTGATGCTACCAGACCTGCGGCTGGGCTTTTATTTCCATTGTGCCAGTGTTCGCAGAGACAAACTATGTCAAAGAAGGTTGTTGGTTGGGCTCCCCCTGTTTGACCCCTAGTAAGTCTTAAAGGGCTAAAGTGCCTTTTAAAACAAGCAGGAAATCTCTGAATGCCCTATGGTTCCTTTATCCCTTTCTGTGGGCCAGTTTAAAGCCTCATGCCCATCTCGGGCGTTTCCAGCCTGGGATGCTCCTGGTGAGCCGTGGCAGCCTGCGGGGCCTCTCAGGGCGGGGCCTGTGCAGGGAGAGCTGCATGTCACTGACCACGGCCATCTCTCCCCCAGTTTGTCACCGTGCAGACCATTTCCGGAACAGGGGCCTTGAGAATCGGAGCCAGTTTCCTGGTGAGTGTGGAAGTTCCCTTGGGGCGGTCAGGGCTGCCTGTTGGGTGCGTCTGTGACCGTGGACCCAGACATAGAGTTCCTCTACCCCGTTCTGTGAACGGTGAAGATATTTTGGAGAGAGTCAAGGAAGCCGTAATGACTTCCCTTTATTCACTGTTACAAAGAAGCAATTGCGTTTTAACTCTCTAAACTGTATGAGGGAGGTACAGGTTACCCATTGCACAAAGGAAGAAATTGGGGTTCACACACATTCTCACAACCAGGCAGTCTTGTTGCTGCATCAGAGTTTTTGGTGGAGGAAAAAGTCTTCTCAGAAAATAGGCCAACTTGTTCCGCCTCTCCTGCCTTCATTTTCCTCTTCCTTTTCTGCTCATCTTCCAGCAAAGATTTTTTAAGTTCAGCCGTGATGTCTTTCTGCCCAAACCATCCTGGGGAAATCACACCCCCATCTTCAGGGATGCCGGCATGCAGCTGCAGGGCTATCGGTACTATGACCCCAAGACCTGCGGCTTTGACTTCACAGGTGCCATGGAGGACATCTCAGTAAGTACGGGCTTTCAGGCGGGAGGGCCGAGTGAGCAGCCAGGAATAAACTTCCTGGCGGGCATCGGACAGCTCCCTGAAGGTCCCAGTATCTGACTTAAGATATTCCCATAGCTCGGATTGTCTTTGATACTTGTCTGACAGTGACTTGTGCCATGTCGGGTATATCATCTCCTTTAAAACCACAAGCCAAGGCATGTCTTGATTGTTCTTCTCCGTAGAAAATTCCAGAGCAAAGTGTCCTCCTCCTGCATGCCTGTGCCCACAATCCCACGGGCGTGGACCCTCGCCCTGAGCAGTGGAAGGAAATCGCAGCAGTGGTGAAGGTGAGGAGGATGGGCCGATGGGGGGCAGTATTGTGTTTCGTACTCGTTCTTGGGTGCTTAGTAACGGGACAGAATCTTCATGGTGTGAATTAGCCTTGAGTCCTCAGAAAGTTTCCACCTGTGGGAAGCTGCCAGTGAAAGACTTGTTTGCATAGTTAGCAGTTCTATAATAATTAATGATTTATGAGCAGTGCAAAAAAAAAAAAAAAAAGAACATCTCTTTTTCAGCCCAGATGTTGAGAATTCTGGCCTGACTTGTTGCCGAACCTGTTTAGTAGGCAGCTGGCCTCAAGTGTCTCCTGTTACACCTACACTTGTTCTGGTCACTAGCTGCTTGTTCGTCCTTTTATACACTTTTTTTTTTTTCCCCAAAGTCACGTATTTATTTGGAAGACAGGGTTACAAAGAAAGAGATACTTTCTGTCCACTGCTTTGCTCCCATATGACTGTACCTGGCTGGGCTTGATCAATCAGGCCAAAGCTAGGAGCCAGGAGCTGCTGCTTTCCCAGGCGCATTAACCTGGAGCTGGAGCACAAGGGCCGTAGGCAGGACTCAAACCAGCACTTGTGTAGAATGCCAGCGTCTCAGGTGGCAGTTTGACCTGTACTTCAGTTATATCTGATATGATATGAATAAGATGGTATCTTATTGTGGTTTCGGTCTGTATTTTCCTGATGGTTAATTACCACACTTTTTTTTTAATGTTTTTGTATATTTCTTTTAAGATCTACCTATCCAGTTCTTTGCCTGTTTCCTAACTGAATCGTTTGTCTTTGTTGCTGTTTAGGTTTTTTTTGAGATCCTGATATAAATATTAATCCTTCTTCAAGTAAATGGCTGGCAGATATTGGATATATCTATCCAATTGGATAGCTCTTTCTATTGGATGTATCTTTATATTCTATTGGATATATCTTTTTTTAAGGATACTTTAAGATTTATTTATTTATTTTACTTGAAAGGCAGAGTTGCAGAGTGAGAGAGAGAGAGAGAGAGGAAAATACAGATCTTCCATCCGCCGATTCACTCCCCAGATGGCTGCAACTGCCAGAACTGGGAACATCCGAGTCCAGGAGCTTCTTCTGGGTCTTAAATGTGGGTGCGGGAGCCCAAGGAATTGGTGCAGCCTCCGCTGCTTTCCCAGGTGCAAGAGCAGGGAGCTAGATCGGAAGTGGAACAGCCTGAACTAAAACCTGCACCACAGCGCTGGCCTCTGATTTGCCTTACTCTGTTGTTTCCTTTTCTGTGTAGAAGCTTCTGGGTTTACTATGCCATTTGTCTAGTTTGCTTTTATTTCCTGTGCTTCAGAGTCCACTGTCATCGCTGTATCAGTGTCTTCAAATTTTTCCCCTTTTTTCTCCTAGCAGTTTCATACTTTCAAGTCTTAAATTTAGGTCTATGAATCATCTTGAATTGATTTTTTTTTTAATGATGATAGGGCTCTACTTTTCATTCTTTGTATGTCTCGTTTTGCAGTACCATTATTGAAGACTATTCTTTCTCCAGTGTGTGTTTTTGTCAAAACTATAGCTTTTTTTAAAAAAAAGAAAAGATTTATTTAACTTTTATCACAAAGTCAGATATACAGAGCGGAAGATCTTCTGTCCGATGGTTCACTCCCCAAGCGGCTGCAACAGCCAGAGCTGAGCCAATCTGAAACCAGGAGCCAGGAGCTTCTTCCAGTTCTCCCACACAGGTGCAGGGTCCCAAGGCGTTGGGCAGTCCCCGACTATTTTCCCAGGCCACAAGCAGGGAGCTGGGTGGGAGGCGGGGCAGCCTGGATTAGAACCAGTTCCCATATGGGATCCTGGTGCATTCAGGGCAAGGACTTTAGCCACTAGGCTATTGTGCCAGACCCCAAAAATATAACTGAGTAAGCACACCAGAAAGGTAGAGGGTCTCTCTTGATTTCTCCTTCTCTGTTTTTTTCTCTGTCAAATAATTTTGTTAAGAATCATGTCATCTGTAGCTATAAGTACAGATGTTTTGATTCCGTTTTTTAATTTATGGTGCCCTTTATTTTTTTCTCTTCATTGATTGCTCTTACTAGTACTTTCAGCATTGTATTGAATAAGAACGATGAAAGTGAACACATTTCCAGATCTGAGCTTACATACTTTTTCATGTCCCCTTTCCTGTTTTTTGTTTGTTTCTTTTGTTTTGTTTTGTTTGCTTCCGGATAATAGATGCCGTGGCAGCATTGATAGCTCAGATGCTTGGCAGCATTGATAGCTCACATGACAGGCTTGGATTGTGTTCCAGGCTCTTGGCTGGTGCAGGCACTTGGGGAATCAACCAATGATTAAAAGGTCTACTTGTTTTTGTGTGTGTTTCTGCCTTTCGAGTAAAATGAAAATAAATTTAGAAATTTTTATATAAAGATGAGGGGCACAGTGGGTTAAACTGCCCTTTGCCACACCCACAACTCACGTCAGGTGCCGCTTTGAGTCCTGGCTGATCTGCTTCTGTTCCGGCTTCCTGTTGGTGTACCTGGCAGGCTAGCACGTGATGTCCCGATGCTTGGGCCCTGTCACCCATGTCAAAACCCAGGAGGAGTTCTTGATTCTGAGCTTCTGTCTAGCCCAGGCCCAGCTGTTGCAGTCTTCTGGGGGGATGAGGCAGCAGATGGAAGGTTTCTGTGTCTCTGTCTGGCTTTCAAAGAAGTAACTTTTTTTGTAAGAGTTGGTGATTTGGTTCTGTTGAGGCTGTCCATCAACCATGAGTATGCGTGTTATGCCAGGGTCACTTTAACCCCAGAATAGGCTGCTGCTGGTCCTGGGTTTGACAGTCAGAAATAATTAAGCCGACCACTGCTGGCCTCAGAGGGCTTCCTGTGCCATTAAGCAGTCTTCTGGGCAAACTGAGATTCATATTTTCTGAGTATCTTCTTGAGCAGTCATATCGCCCACATTTTAAAAAAATATATATGTTGATAACTAGGAAAATTAAATCGTCTCCCAACTGCATCTGGGGCAGAAGGGTGTTGCCTCTGTGAGGTGGGCGTGGGGGCAGTAAACGGAGATAGCCATCCGGGCCTCTCCCGACGGACTGCCTGAAGCTGGGCTCTCCTCTTCCTTCCCAGAAAAAGAATCTGTTTGCATTCTTTGACATGGCCTACCAAGGCTTTGCCAGTGGTGATGGTGACAAGGACGCCTGGGCTGTCCGCCACTTCATTGAACAGGGCATTAACGTGTGTCTCTGCCAGTCTTACGCCAAGAACATGGGCTTATATGGTAAGTTAAAGGCCCCAGCATGGCGTGTGTGCTGCTGAGCTTGAAGAGGAGCTCGGGAGAGAATGCCACAGTGGCAGAGAGTTGGAAAGGGAGGTCGAGTGTGTGTGACTGCATGTCCGTCCTTCCCCAGAGAAGAGAGGCTTGCAGCGTGGACTTCACTGATCTTCTCAGCCACATCTTCTGTGTCCTGGGAAAGACATAGAAGAAAACATTCTCACTTCTCTAAGCGAAAAGTGGCTGATCCCTGAACTGAGAAGATAAACGTAATAGGGAGATGCACGGATGGAAGCCTCAGCTGTCTGTTGGGCCTCCGCAGATTTAACTAGGATTTGCTTCTGCATGTTGACTGGGGAGCTGGAAGGCAGGCTCCACTTTGTCCTTTCAGGTGAGCGTGTCGGAGCCTTCAGTGTCATCTGCAAGGACGCAGAGGAAGCCAAAAGGGTGGAGTCTCAGTTGAAGATCTTGATCCGCCCCATGTATTCCAACCCTCCTCTCAACGGGGCCCGGATTGCCTCCACCATCCTGACTACACCAGATCTGCGAAAGCAATGGTAAGGGCTCCTGACTGTTCCCAGCCCTGCACCCCTGCCTGCCTGCACACTGCTTTCCCTCCGTAGCTGGTGTTTAGTTGGCTCCTGGAGACATGTAGCACCTCCCAGATGCCAGCGTGAGTGAGGGAAGCAGGGAACGGTGAAGTTCTGTTTACACTGTCAGACACACAAGGTGATCTCTCCTGGTAAACGGAACACGTGATTCAGAAATAGTGGCTGTGCTGCAAATTATTGTCACTCAGTTATGGTCATCATAATCCACATAAGAAAACATTTTTACAACATGACCACAGACATTGTTATTTGTCTATGGTTATATACATTGTTTTGTTTGTTTGTTTGTTTTTTTAAAGATTTATTTTTATTATTTTTTCATTGGAAAGGCAGATATACAGAGAGGAGAGACAGAGAGGAAGATCTTCCGTCCAATGATTCACTCCCCAAGTGAGCGCAACGGTCGATGCTATGCCAATCCGAAGTCAGGAGCCTCTTCCGGGTCTCCCACAGGGTGCAGGGTCCCAAAGCCTTGGGCCGTCCTCGACTGCTTTCCCAGGCCACAAGCAGGGAGCTGGAAGGGAAGCGGGGCAGCCGGGATTAGAACCAGCGCCCATATGGGATCCCGGGCGTGCAAGCTGAGGACCTTAACCACTTGTGCCACAGCGCCGGGCCCTATACATTGTTTTAAAACTCAGTACTGGGCCCACTGCAGTAGCCTAGTGGCTAAAGTACTGGTCTTTCTTGCGCCAGTATCCCATATAGGTGCCGGTTTGTGTCCCAGCTGTTCCACTTCCCATCCAGCTCCTGCTTGTGGCCTAGGAAGGCATTCGAGGATGGCCCAAAGCCATGGGGTGCTCTGCCCACATAGGAGACCCGTAAGATGCTCCTGGCTCCTGGCTTCAGAATTGCTCAGCTCTGGCCGTTGGCAGCCACTTAGGGAGTGAGCCAGTGGACAGAAGATCTTTGTCTCTCCTCTCTGTAAAATCTGCTTTTCCAATAAAAATAAAATAAATTGTAAAGAAAGGACAGTTTTATTGAAGCACAGCCACACCCATTTACTTCTGAGTTGTGTATGGCTGCTTTTGTGCTGAAGTGGCAGAGTGGCTGCCACACAAACTATGACTCTTGGTCTGAAACACTTACCGTCAGTTCCCCAGCCCCTGTACCAGCCCCTGCTTGCGTAATTCGGAGTTCATCAAGACCCATGATATCAGTAGAAGGTGTGATTTGCTGTGTGTTTATCCCATGTAGCTGCTTAATTCAGAGGTAGATTCATTAAAAAAAAAAGATTATATATTTTTATTGGAAAGGCATATTTACAGAGAAGGAAAGAGAAGAGAAAGTCCATCTACTGGCTCACTCAGATGACTGTGACAGGTGGAACTGAGCTGATCCAAAGCCAGAAGCTTCTTCTGAGTCTCCCTCACAGGTGTAGGGTCCCAAGGCTTTGAGCCATCCTCAACTGCCTTCCCAGGCACAAGCAGGGGGCTGGGTGAGAAGCGGGGCCACCGGGACATGAACAGTGCCCACGTGGGATGTTGGTGTCTCAGGCAGTGGCTTTGCCCACTTCTCCATGACACCAGCCCCACTTAACACTATTTTTATATGTTTTTTTTTTCTATTTCTGTGTTCTCTTATTACTATGAGGTATTTCATTGCAGCATACCGTTAATAGTCAACAGTAGACACCACTGGATGTCTGAGGTGTGCTCTCCATCCCCGGGGAGTTTGGAACTCCCGGGAACAACACACACATCTCCTCAATGCCAGAACTCCTGATTCTAAGGAGTGCTGTGCTGTATGAGTAGTTCCTTAAAGAGCGGAGAGGACTTTTTATTGTTTCCAAAAGAAATGAGGGGCAGGGGAGAAAGAACAGGCAGGAGAACTGCAGAGCTTGTCCAGAAATCCCCACCCAGTTTCTCTAGCAGAAACCCCGGGGGTGAGGAAGGGTACAGGAAGCAGCCAGCTGAGAAGCTGAGCTTACCCTGAAGCACTGTGCTGGGTGTGAGGAGTCAGACCTTCGCTCTCAGGCAGTGAGAAGGCCAGCTGGGTGCTGCGGAGGGAGCAGAAGTCCATCAGTGGCTGTGCACTCAGTGCCTTTAGGAACCAGGCCTCATGGCGGAGACGGGTCGAGAGATGGCTCAGCAATGAGGATAGGAACTCTTTACATGTCTTTAACAATTGTCCACTTGGCAAGGGAGCCAGAAAGAGTGTTCCCACAGTGCTGTGGGAATGGTGTGGCCACGGTAGAGTCTAAAGCAGAGGGAGGTTGTGTTCTGAACCAAGGGAGCCGTGTGCAGGAGCTGCCTTCTGCAGGCCTCCAGACGGAGTCAGCTCTGCCTTCTTGGGTACCTTGTGCCGTAGTTGCTCACATACAGGTGATGCTTTCAGGGTAAGAACCATGTTTCAGTCCTTAGCGTGGAGCATAGCAGCCAGTGTCTTCATTGTGAAGGCAAGCAAATGTATTCCATTCCTGTTAAAAATCATGTTGTATTTTATTGTGTAACCCATGGCTTTTGCCTTAGCTTCAATTAAGCATGTTAATGTTGTCTGATAAAACTATATTATAAGTTTTTTTTTGTTTGTTTTAAAATATTTATTTATTTATTTATTTGAAAGACAGTTATATAAAGAAAGAGATAGGGAAAGACAGATCTTCCAACTGCTAGTGCACTCTGCAAATGACTGCAGTGGTCAGGGGCTGGGCCGGGCTCCAGCCAGGGGAAGTCTGCTTTCCCAAGCACATTAGCCGGGGGCTGGCTCAGAAGTGGAGCAGCTGGGACTTGAACCAAAACCCAGATGGATGTTCCTACCGCAGCAGTGACTACCCACCACAGCACAGTGCTAGTCCCAAAATATCATATGTATATAAAACAGAATACAATAAAATAGCTTTCTTGTCTGCCCAGTGACATGGTGACTCAGTCAGGGGCTAAGGAATTTAGATGGATTAAGGCAACAAACATGAATTCTGACACACTTGCCATGCTTGGCCAGCCGGCACTACATCTTGGTCTTTCCCCACAGGTTGCAGGAAGTTAAGGGCATGGCCGACCGCATCATCGGCATGCGAACACAGCTGGTCTCCAATCTCAAGAAGGAGGGCTCCTCCCACAACTGGCAGCACATCACTGACCAGATTGGCATGTTTTGTTTCACAGGTCTGAAGCCTGAGCAGGTGAGTGGGCTGCAACTCCTCCGTGGTTGACCAGTTGGTCCAGAGTTTGTTGTTACCTGTTTGCTTCCCTGTGTGTCCCCTGTGAGCCTACACTTCTGAAGAGCAGAGCTTGTTTTGATGGTGCAGTGAGCACTGCTGGCTCTCCAGAAAACACGAGAGCAAGCCGTGGTCTGTAGCTCTATCCTGCTTCTCTGCTCAGTGTAGGATTTTGGTTTTGACTTGGTCACATGTCAGAATTCACCATCCCAATTTTAAAAAGCCTTCTCTTCTTTTGCTCTATCCTAGCATGTCAAATTGTAGGAAAAGAGCTTAAGTGAAAAAATAAACTTTCTGTTATTTTTACTGCATTAGCAAGCTGGCTAGTGTACCATATCAAGACTGAGAAAATGCCCTTGGCCGCCAGCAAATACCAAGTTCTTGTCCCTCGGCAGGTGGAGCGGCTGACCAAGGAGTTCTCCATCTACATGACAAAGGATGGGCGTATCTCAGTGGCTGGAGTCACCTCTGGTAATGTGGATTACCTCGCCCACGCCATTCACCAGGTCACCAAGTAACTTCCCCAGTGCCAGGAGACAGAGACAACCTTTCCGTGCTCAACCTCTGCCTCTGTGAGATTCGCACCAAGGGAGGGTGGATGGTGGTGGTGGTGGATCATTTCAACCGCACAGCGCAGCACTCAACGATGGATTGTGTCTCAGAAAAGAACATGCAGTGAAATAGTGCAGAGGTACCTGTGGCTGGTGGCTGGTGGCTGGAACTTTGTGGCTTTAAAACCAAACTTTTCTCTCTGTCCTTTTGTCTTCAGCTTTTCCAAGAGTTTACATGTGCAGGAAAGTCATAACACCAAAAAAAAAAAAAAACCAAAAACCCTGTCAGTCATGCCATTGCCACGTCTGAGCAGCTTTAAGTGAAGCAGTGTGCTGTGCTAGGGGCTGTTCTGGAGCCAGCTTCAGAGCCAGCACTTCATAGAGGCTTTGCGAGAGCTACTTAGTCACAGTCAGTCAGGTGGCCTCATGGTTGTCCCCCCGTGATGGAGCAAACCATCAACAGGCCGATTACAAGAATTGTGCTTTGTGGAAACCAGTGAGTCCGCTACCACTGCAGCAAGAAAAATAAACCATACTGTTTCTTGTCTAATTTAAGAAAAAGAACACTCTTTCTCCTCCCTATCACTGCTGTTCTGTTCTTTAGTCAAAAAGCCCTGTAACTAGCCTAGATTTCCATTCTGTTCTACTGATTAATTGACCACCAGACCCATCCGATCAGGGTTTATTTAAGAAGAAAGAACATCACCTGGGTTTATTTAAGAAGGAAGCACGGTGGTGAGTTAGGGAAGCGCTTTGACTTCCGCGTCCTCTTCAGTGATTGTGACATTGCCTCCTCTGGGGATGCCGCCTCTGCCGACTGGACCTCTTCCCTTCACTGCTTGTGCTCATGCGGTCCCTCGTCCGACAGCGCGAGCTGGGCGGTGCGTAGTAGCACAGGGAAGGGGATGTTCTGGACTTGCTGTGCTGCGAGACGAGCGCAGACCTGACCCTCCGGAAAGCTCACCACCATCCACTCTGAGCACGTAGACTTCTCGCGGCCTGGTTTCTCTGTTACAATAAAATGACTGTAGATCCAACACTGTCTGCTTGTTCTTTCACGGGAGGCAGGGGAAGGTGTGCGGGTGTACCGCAGAAAGCCTCGAGTCCTGTCCAGCTGACCGTGAGCCAGGACAGATGTGAGCTGCTCCCGAAGTTGGCGTTTTCCTCTCCATCCTGCCATTCAGCTCGGCCCTCCCAAAGGTGCTGAGAATGTGGCTGTAATCCCTTAACCGGAAGAACAAGGACCATTCCCCAGTGACCCTGTGCATATGGGCAGGGCTGAAAGGTTGGAGGGGAAGTAGTCACTTTTAGATTTCTACAGGAACCAAGCAAATGATACAAATAAAAGCTACAGTGGGCAAGCACCTGTGTGCAGTAGACATCTGGCCTGGTGGTTAAGATACCCATGTCCTGTATCGGGGCACCTGGGCTCAAGGCCCAGCTCCACTTCTGACTCCAGCCTCCTGTTTGTGAGTATCTTGTGAGGCAGTGGTGATGGCTTAAGGAACTTGGCCCCCACCACCCATGTGGGAGACCTGGGCTAATCTCCCAGCTCCCAGCTTCAGTCCTAGGCAAGAGACTGTTCTGGGCCTTTGAGGGGAGTGAACCAATGGGCAGAGGGTCTGTAGTTCTGTCTCAAATTTTAAAAACCACGACAATATAAAGAAGTGAATACAAAGTTAAACACCAGCAAGATAAGGTGCGAACTGGAGTCCAGTCTTCAGTGATTAACTCAGCCTCAGAGCTGAGACTACAAGCCTGGGGATATAGGTCTTAGTTTTTTAATTTTATTTTTATTGAAAAGGCAAAGTTATGGGCCTGGTGCCATAGCCTTGTGGCTAAAGTCTTCACCTAACATACACTGGGATCCAGTAAGGGCACTGGTTCTAATCCCAGTTGGCCCCATTTCCCATCCAGCTCCCTGCAGTCACTTGGGGAGTGAATCATCATCAGATGGAAGATCTTCTCTATATCTCACTTTGCAATAAAAATGAATCTTTTAATAAATAAGTCTTTTTTTAAAAAAAAGAAAGGCAGAGTTACAAAGAGATAGCAAGGGATAGATTTTCCATCCACTGGTTCACTCCCCAGAAAGTTGCCATGGCCCCAGCCTGGTTAGACTGAAGTCAGGAGTTGCTTCTGGATCTCCTGCATGGGTGGCAGGACCCCACTTTGGCCACCTTGCACTGCATTCGCAGGGAGCTGACAAAAGTGGAATAGCCGGGCCTGGCACAGAGGCCTACAGGCCAAAGTCCTCTCCTTGAACACGCCAGGATCCCATTTGGGCTCCAGTTCTAATCCTGACAGCCTTGCTTCCCATTCAGCCTCCTGCTTGTGGCCTGGGAAAACAATTGAGGATGGCCCAAAGCTTTAGGACCCTGTACCCGTGTGGGAGACCTGGAGGGTTCCTGGCTCCTGGCTTGGGATCGGTGCAGCACAGGCTGTTGCACTCACTTGGGGAGTGAATCAAAGGATGGAAGATCTTCCTGTCTCCTCTCTGTATATCTGACTTTGCAATGAAAATAAAATAAATTTTTTTTCAAAAGTGGAATAGCCAAGCCTAGTGAATGACTCAATTGTTAAATCCTCACCTTGCATGTGCCGTAATCCCATGTGGGCACCGGTTCGTATCCCGGCTGCTTCTCATACAGCTCCCTGTTTATGACCTGGGAAAGCAGTAGAGGATGGTCCAAGGCCTTGGGACCCTGTGCTCATGTGGGAGACCTGGAACAAGTTCCTGAGTCCTGGCTTCGGATCAGCTCAGCTCAGGCCATTGCAGCCATACGGGGACAGAGCTGGTGGGCAGAGGATCTTTCTGTCTTTCATTCTCTGTAAATCTGACATTCCGATAAAAATTAAAAAGCGGAATGGCCAGAATACTAGCCAGCTCCATATGGGATGCCGTCATCACAGGCAGTGGCTTTACTCTCCCATGTTGTGACCCATCCCATCATCCAGTTTTTTCAGAAGCAGTTTGCAATCCATGGCTTGCCAGTCTGTGAGCGCTGACAAGGTCCTGTGCTGCTGGTAGCAAACAGCAATGCAGCTGCGTGACTTGAGCCTTTATGCCTGTTCTGTCCCCTACACTTCACGCAAGGAGCTGTTCGGGATGGCACAGTGACTGTCTAAACAATGGAACAGGAATCCTCCCCTGCAGGGGAAAGCAGGCCCAGCTGCTTCTCCCCTTGGCTTCTCCCGTCTCCCTAGGGACACAGTAATCTCTTCCTGGCACAGTGGAGAAGGCTTAGCCGATGGACTGCTGCACCGGATGTCTTCAGGAAAGCGCCTTTGGGAGGAGACGGACTGACTTAGCATCCTGGAAACTGACCAACTGGCTTGGGTATGAACAACTGCTCTAAGTTACCCTATTCTGGTGCAAAAAATGGTTGACACTGACTGCCAACCTCTCGCCAGGCTGAAAAAAGCATCTAGAGCCCGGCGGCGTGGCCTAGTGGCAAAAGTCCTTGCCTTGAACACGCTGGGATCTCATATAGGCGCTGGTTCTAATCCCAGCAGCCCCATTTCCCATCTAACTCCCTGCTTGTCTCCTGGGAAAGCAGTTGAGAATGGCCCAAAACCTTGGGACCCTACACCCACATGGGTGACCCGAAGAAGCTCCTAGCCCCTGGCTTCAAATCAGCTCAGCTTTTGTCATGGCAGCCACTTGTGGAGTGAACCAGCAGATGGAAGATGTTTCTGTCTCTCCTTCTCTCTATAAATCTGACTTTGCAATAAAAATATATAAATCTTTAAAAAACAAGAATAAATAGTAGCATAGTAAATGACCTTGTCAACCCAGTGCGATGACTCAATCAAATAAATCCTCACCTTGCAAGCACCAGAATCCCATATGGGTGCTGGTTTGTGCCCCAGCTACTCCACTTCCCATCCAGATCCCTGCCGATGTCCTGGGAAAGCAGTAGAGGATGACCTAAAGCTTTGGAATCATGCACCTGTGTGCGAGGCCTAAAGAAGCTCCTGGCTTTGGATCAGCTCTGCTCCGGCCATTGTGGTCATTTGGGGAGTGAGCCAGCAGATGGAAGATTTTTGCTGTCTATCTCTCCTTCTCCCTTATAAATCTGGTCTACCTTTCTAATAGAAATAAATAAATCTTTATAAATAAATGAATAACCTCATACATAGGTTAATATATATTCAAGCAAGCTATCAGATGGCTGAATCTGAAGAGCTGGGATCTGAGATGCCACTCCCAGCAGCTGGGCCTGCGTTGAGCTCCTCCAGAAACCAGTTAGCTGTGTGCTGCCAATCTGACAGGTGAGGTGGGACATCTCAGTGTTCTGATGTTCATTTATTTCTGTTTTGGAGAAGATAAAGCATTTTTCGTGTCTGAGATGATTTTTCTCTAAGTGATCCTATCAGTTCTTCCTGTTGTATATGGGAATACAGGTGGTACTGTCCATTTCATAAACCCTCTGACTTTAAGGAGTAGTAACCTTTCTTGACAGGAGTTAGTTGCATTCTGTCCTTGCTATAACAACAAAAAATTACAGAGCAAATTTAGGCTACAGAAACAGGCCTATGTAGTCATGTATACAATGATATCTATGCATTTATTTGTTTATTTTAAAGGTATTTCTTTTTAAAGACATTTATTTTAATTCAAAAGATTGGTTTATGGAGAGAAAGAGAGATAAAGATCTTCCATCTGCTAGTTTACTCCCCAAGTGACTGCAACTGCTGGAGCTGAGCCAGTTCAAATCCAGGAGTCAGGAGCTTCTTCTGGGTCTCCCACGCAGGTGCAGGGTCTTGGGCCATCCTCAACTGCTTTCCCAGGCCACAGCCAGGAGCTGGATGGGAAGTGGATCTGCTGGGACACAAATTGGCACCCATATGGGAAGCTGGTGCTTGAAGGTAGAGGATTAGCACTGGCCCCATATCTAGGCATTTATAAAACTTTTCCTCTCATATTTATACTTTAATTATGTGTTAGTCTATAAGAAGTTCACAGATCCTGCAAACCAACCAAGGCCAGTTCACTCATTCCAGGCAACAGCCAGCTTCCTTCTAAGAACATTAACGTGCTGCTTGGAAAGTTTGATTTATTTTGCTTTTTACAGATACTGTTTGGGGGTCTGGTGCAGTGGCCCAGTGGCCAAATCCTCACCCTGCATTCGCCGGGTTCTATATGGGCACCACAACAGCAAAGCATTTCAGTTCTGTGAAGTCTTCCTAAGCGGTTGGGAGGCAACGTCATGAAGTGGTTAGCAGCTCTAACCTCAGTCAGACATCGCATCACCTGCTCTGCAGAACATGCGGACACCTCCCCTTCTTACAGGTGCACAAACTAAGGCCTGCCTTGCCCATGAATGCACAGTCTGCTTGCAAGTCTGGGGCTCCTTCGCTCTGCTAAAGGCTGCATCTGTCTTTATGACACTTCCGCAAATACAGCCTCCACTCCAGCTTACGAGCCAACACCAATCGAGGCTGGCAGCTGTCTGGTGTCTGCACTCAACGTTCCTCCAACTTCTTCCCAAGCAATGAGAAGCAGGATTTTAACATGCATACACACACCGTGTACAAAGACTGTGCTGTGGGCTGCGTTGTAAGCTCACATTTATCTAAAACAGGACTGGAAACCAAGCACACCCTTAACATTCTGTGGTACACCCCCAGTGGCTGAATGAAGGTAAATCACTCCCAAGACTGGAGGCTCAAGGTCCTCCTGTATTTCAGAAATCTTATGCATGTTTTCAACATGACTTCTTGTAGCAGAGAGGCGGGGGCGGGGAGGGGAACGGAAACCTAACCACACTCGGCAGGCACACCCACATGATCTCCATTGGCCAGAGCAATTTACAAGGTCAACTTAGCAGCAATTTACCTGAAAGTGGCAGGGCAGGGTGCAAATCTCACCCGGGGAAGGACAGCGAGCATGTTAGAGGAGCACTGCCATCTCCCCATGGCAGGTTTCTGGAAGAGGCGAATAGGGCGTCAGAGTACAGGCCGGGCTGCAAGGCACCACATTCCCCAGGAGGAGCTGACATCCGCTTTCATGAAACAAACTTCAGTCTGACACAGGCTTCGCTGTTGCAACCATTTTCTGCTTTTCTTTTCCCTTTAAAAAAAATTGAAAGACTTACTTATTTTCTTATTGGAAAGTCAGATTTGCAGGAGAAGGAGAGACAAAGAAGATCTTCCATCTGCTGGTTCACTCCACAAGTGGCTGCAACAGCCAGAGCTGAGCCTATCTGAAGCCAGGAACCAGCTTCTTCTGGGTCTCCCACGCAGGTACAGGGTCCCAAGGCTTTGGATCTTCCTCCACTGCCTTCCTAGGCCACAAGCAGGGAGCTGGATGGGAAGTGGAGCAGCCAGAACACGAACTGGCGCCCATATGGGATCCAGGCTCATGCAAGGCAAGGACTTTAGCCACTAGGCTACTGTGCTGTCCCCACCCCATTTTTCAAGATGTATTTATTTTCATTGGAAAGGCAGATTTTACAGAGTGATCTTCCAGCTGCTGCAATGACCAAACCAGAGGAGATCCAAAAGCTGGGAATTTCTTCCAGGTCTCCCATGCAGGTGCAGGTTAGGCAGTTTTGGGCCATTCTCCACTGCTTTCCCAGGCCATCAGAAGGGAGCCAGGTCGGAAGTGGAGCAGCCAGGACATGAACCAGCACCCATACAGGATGCCAGTGCTTGCAAGGTTGAGGATTAGCCTACTAAGCTGCTGTGCCAGCCCCTCTGCTTTTCAAAAAAGAAGAAGAATCCTGTAGAGTTGAAGATGTTCAATAGCCTGAGTGTGTGGATATACAATTATGTAGAACTAAATACCCACAAAAAAAATGGGTACATGGGCCCGGCACGGTGGCGCAGTGGTTAAGGTCCTCGCCTTGCACTCCGGGGATCCCATATGGGCGCCAGTTCTATCCCGGCAGCCCCGCTTCCCTTCCAGCTCCCTGCCTGTGGCCCGGGAAAGCAGTCGAGGACGGCCCAAAGCTTTGGGAACCTGCACCCGCGTGGAAGACCCGGAAGAGGCTCCTGGCTTCGGATCGGCATAGCATCCACCGTTGTGCTCACTTGGGGAGTGAATCATCGGACGGAAGATCTTCCTCTCTGTCTCTCCTCTCTGTATATCCGCCTTTCTAATAAAAATAAAATAAATCTTTAAAAAAAAAATGGGCACAGGCAAAATCGGGAAATCCCAGTAACTTCAATGAAGTGGGTTCTGTCCATGCCAGTGTCTTGGGGCTGATACAGGATCTCTTTTTATGATTTATGGCAAATTTATGAAGCTTGGGACTCGCAAGAATCTCTAGGAGGAAGAAGCAGTATGTGCCCTTGCCAAAGATGTCAGCCATAACAATAAAACACACGGGCTGGCCCGGAGGCATGCTGTAGGGTAGAGGAAATCAGGGAGCTGATGGCCAAAATTTCACCTGCGGAAAACTACAACTCCCAGGGTGACCCGCGGCCGCCCAAGCAGGGAGTCATGTGATCCATGCTCACGTGTCTCCGTAGCCGGCTCGGGAATGAAGCGCTTTAGGTAGGTGATAGAAGGTGAAGGTGGTGGGATCCTTAAATCCTGTGATCCGTGGAGCACCCTCCGCAGCGGAGTCCGCCCGGTTCCGTGTAGAGCTGCGGGTCAGTCCTCGCCCCACACCTGCCTTTGCCGTGCAGGCTCCGCGTGTTGGTCTGCTGTCTCCACCTAGTCCTAGGCCGGGATCGAGTCCCAGGGCTCCTCCCTATTTTATGCCCCTTGGTAGCCCACCTATCAGCAGATCTGGGGATTGGCCCCTTCTGCCCTGCTCCGTGTGCACCGTGGCGCACCTCCCAATACAGCTCACCCTTCATATTTCGGAGCCCCTGGTTGGACGGGGAAGCCGTTCTTCTTGGGATTCGCCGGGCCTACAGCCGTGATTACATTCCTGCCCTGAGCCCTGAGCATCGGGTTTCCAGTGCTGGCACGACCACTGCTCCTTCCCCTCCGCGCTATCTGTCCTGGCGCCCCGTTCAGTGAGGAGCCAGTCTTCCCGGCCCCCTCCACTCTGCCAAAGCCAACAGGGAGGCAACCCAAACTTTTCTCTCCTCTGACAGCAGATTTGCAGTTTAGAGAAAGAAGCAGCTGGGACTGGAGCGAGACGTGGGGAGAATCAGACCTGGGAGTTCTCAGAAGAAGCCACCCCCTCCGCTGTGGTGCAGCAGGTGAGCCAGGAGGCATGTGGCAAGTAGTGGGGGAGGGGAGTGGGAGCTGGGGATCTGGGACCATGCCCGCGCATGAGCTGCAGAAGGACCGCAGCCTTGGCTGCTGCGTGACGGAGATGGCACGGCGCTGGGACAGAGGTGCCGGAGGGAAGGATGCTATTCTAGGTCTCTTTGGTCAGCTGGCTCTGGAAACGTGTGTTAGGGGAGGCGGTGAGCAAGGCAGAGCCGGAGCTGCACTGGAAGCCTGGCCATCCCAGGACTCTGCCTTGACTGCTCGTGGCTTTGATTTTCTGCTGAGCTGTGCAGAACCCGAGTGGCAGGTTGCGTAAAAGGAAGAAGTCCTGTGGCGTTGGCGTGACATGTTTGGATTTGGAGGCAGAAGAGGGAAGTCTCCTCTGGGGCCGGATCACTTGGTCCCGTGCCTGCTGGCAGGTGTCTGCGAGCACTCAGCGGGTCCACGTTCTGCTCCATGCATGTGCAGTTCCCAGCAGCAGGAACCACAGAAAGCATCCGGGAGGCGAGGGCTGAGAGCAGGGCGGGGAAGGGGCTGGCTCTGTAGTACTCAGTGGTGGCTCAGTTACCACGCTGGCTCTGGTTGGCTGCAGGATAAAAGCAGGGAGGGGCCGCTAGAGAACAACATGCTGATGTAGTCTGAGCACCCTGGGAGTGGGGCTCAGGACCCAGGAGACTGGCACACAGCAACAGCCTGGGCGTGGTGACCCAGAGCAGTCTCTGCTCCCTTTGTTTCTTTCTTTTTTAAGTTTTTAAGAATTTTTTAAAAGATGTATTCATTTTTTTGTAGCAAAGTCAGATTTACAAAAAAATACAAAGAGAAAGACCTGAGATGATCCCAAACCTGGTGAAGTTTCTTTGGAGATCCCTCCAACTGAACTGCTGATCTCAGAACCCCAACCATGAAGAGACTATGTCAGCCAGTGAATTCTGAATAGGTTTCATTGGGAGTGGAACGGCGAGACTGGCAGCAAATCAGAACTGTTGAACTGTCAAAACTGCTTGAGCAGGACCCTTGGAGCATGCCTCACATCGGGGACCTGGGATGGGTGGGAGGCTGGGTGGGGCTTTTCCCTTTGTTTCTCCCCTGAGCCCAGATACAGAGGGAAAAAATTATATTAGTATGGAAACAATGGTATTACCCACTTTCCTATAGCCCTTGACCCTTTGTACCCTAATCAACTATGTAAGATTATAAAAAAAAAAGAGAAAGATCATCCATCCAGGCCCAGAAGATCTTATTCTCTGTCTCTCCTCCTTTCTGTATATCTGACTTTCAAATAAAAATAAACTAATCTTTTTTAAAAACAAAGAAAAAAATGGTTCACTCCCCAAAAAGCAACAGCCAGAGCTGAGCTGATCCGAAGCCAGGAGCTAGGAACTTCTTCCGGGTCTCCAACACGGGTGCAGGGTCCCAAGGCTTTGGGCCATCCTCAACTGTTTTCCCAGGCCACAAGTAGGGAGCTGGATGGGAAGTGGAGCTGCCGGGATTAGAACTGGCGCCCATAAGGGACCCCAGAGCGTTCAAGGAGAGAACTTAAGCCACTAGGCCACCACACCAGGCCCTAGACCTCAGTTTTAACCGGTTCTCTGCTGCCTGCTTCGTGGGGGTCAGCTTTATGTGAAGAGGCACTTACAAATATAGTAGGAGGAGTGATCCTTCATCAAGTGTTACCCTGTCTAATGTTAACATACTCCTCATAGGAACTTTTATTGTTAATTAATTTATTTATTTGAAAGGTAGAGTTACAAAGGAAGAGACAGAGAGAACAAGGTCTTCCATCCTCTGGTTCACTTTGCTAATGGCCCCAGTGACTGGAGCTGTGCCAGTCCAAAGCCAGGAGCAAAGATCTAGTTCAGGGGGCTTGTCCTCCACTGCCTTCCCAAGCCAGAGGCAGAATCAGAATCAGAGCTGAATCAGAAGTGGAGCGGCGAGGGCTTGAACTGACATTCAAATCAATCATATGGGCTGTTGGCACTACAGATGGAGACTGAGCTTGCTATAGCACAGCACCAGTGCCAAGGCAACCTGTGAGAAGTGATGTGACTTGTTCAAGGCCCCACAGGCTTGAAGTAGAGCAGTCCACATTCTGGGTTGGAGGCCTGGATCACAGCCCCTGCACATTCAAAGCCGCTGTTGGCCTGGGAGTGTGGACTTGGTCCTTTGAGACCACTGTTTGTCTTGGCGATCTCAGGCTGTGAGGTGAGCATAGAGAACCCTGGAAGCCACACTTCAGGGCTGGGCTCCTCCAGATACCGGGACATTCCCTCCTCCCAGGTTTCCTGGAGGACAGGCTCAAAACAAAACCACAGTTCACTTATTTACCCAGAGTAGAGGGACTGGATCAGATGACAAGCCCATTGTCCCTGTTCAGCTTCTTGGGCCCAGGGCTTGGACAAACACAGATGGGTATATTGGGTCATTTAGGCCTGGGTCGGGGGACTGGTGTTATGGCATATCAGGTAAAGCCAAAGCCACTGCCTTCAACACCAGCATGCCATAGGGGCACTAATTCAGGTCCCAGTGTCTGCACTTGTGATCCAGCTCCCTGCTAATGGCATTACAGCCATCTGGGAGTGTGAACCAGTGGATGGAAGATCTTTCTCTCTCTCTCTCTCTCCTCCCTCTATCACTCTTTCAAATAAATAAACAAGCCTTTTTAAGAAATTCTCATTGGAAAAAAAATTCTTATTGAATGGCCCGACATGGTTGCCTACCGAATGAAGTCCTCACCTTGCATGCACCAGGATCCCATATATGTGCCATTTCATGTCCTGGCTGCCCCACTTCCCATCCAGCTCCCTGCTTGTGGCCTAGGAGGGCAGTTGAGGATGGCCCAAAGCCTTGAGACCCTGCACCTACATGGGAGATACAGAGGAAGCTCCTGGCTCCTGGTCATTGTGACCACTTGTGGAGTGAACCAGCAGATGGAAGATATTTCTCTCTGTCTTCCATTCTCTATAAATCTGACTTTGTAATAAAAATAAATAAATCTTTAAAAGAAAGAAAGGAAGGAAGGGAAGAAAGAAAGAGATTCCTATGGAAACAATGGTCTTTACCCACTTTCCTGGAACCCTTGATCCTTTGTGCCCTAAAACTAAGATCATCAAAATAAAATAATAATAATAAAAAGAAAAAGAAATCCCTGTTGAGTCTGGCTTGGGTTTGAATACTAGCCCCAGCACTGACTGCCGTAGGATCCAAGGTTGAGTGCTCAGTGATTGTACAATTGAGTCTGCTCAATGGGGACAGTCATGTGGACCTTTTAGGGTCATGCTGATAACATAAAGCTTGCTAGCCAGTGGTAACAATAAGCATCACATGTTGTGGTGTTGCATCATAGAGCAAGTCTCCTAGTCCCTGAGACAAGGCTGAGAGGAAGCCAGCCTGGGCAGTAACAGGGACCTGAGGGCTCCAAGAGGAGCCCAGCAAGTTGGATGTTAGAGGTGACTGGGCAGCAGGGGCTGGTAGCATTCCATAGCCAGCATCACTCACTATCTGCCTGAGGACACAGCTGTCACTGGGATGCGACACTTGTGTCACAGGACAAGGGTGAGAGTTGGCCTGAGTTTTGACGCACTTGAGTACCACATAAGGTTAACACTCTGGGCTGCAGGGAGGCCCCCACTGTTGTTGGCGAGGACTCCTCTTCAGAGCCTGTGGTGTGGAAACAGGCTGGGAAGCCAGAGCGATCTGGATCCAGATCCTGCACAGCGACTTACTTGTCTGGGGCCCTGGGTCTGTGATGTTGACCTCTGGCCCTTTGGATCACGAGGCCCATTGAGTGAGCTAAGGCACGCCCATGGCACACCTGCCCAACACGTGAGCTCTGTGCAGCTCGGACGTTAGTGCTCCCATTCATGTTCAACATCTTATTTACCCTGCTTGTCCAGGAGGCTGCAGCAGGCAGGGTTTGCGGTTTGCATGTTTCTGCCTCTGCCGCCCATTACTATGGCACTCCATGGCCCATTCTACTCAGAACTGCTTGCCTGTATGGATCCTAACCCTGTGCTGCAGCTTCCCCAACCTAGGATAACAGCAGTGCCACTCTTTGTCCCAAACAGGCTGCCCAGGGGATGTGGTCGTGAGGCAGAGCCCTCATCGCCTGCAAGAAGCCAACTCCTGGGGCCATGGCCCAGGTCAGCATCAATAGTGACTATGGCGAGTGGGCCCTGAGTGCTGATGCTGGGGAGCGAGCCCGACTGCTGCAGAGCCCTTCTGTGGACACAGCACCCAAGAATGAGGGGGATGCCTCTCCCGGGGGCCCGGGCTCAGGCACCACCTCCACGCTGGGAGCCATCTTCATTGTTGTCAACGCCTGCCTGGGCGCAGGACTGCTCAATTTCCCAGCAGCCTTCAGCACAGCCGGGGGCGTGGCAGCAGGCGTCACCCTGCAGATGGTGAGTGTGCCAGCCTGGAAGGCAGAAGTACATGGTGGGGCAGGGGCAGGTGGGCTTTATGCCTTTCCAGGGAAGCGTTCAATCAGGGTCTTCCATCCTGCACACACATCAGACATTATCCATCTATTCCAGCTTTTCCTTCCTCTAGGCCCCCATGAAACTTCAGAGAGGGATTTGATTGTCACTTGTGTTTTTTTTAAGAGTTAAAATGACTTTGTGATTATGTTGGAAAAGATCACCCTCATCATTTGGAACTACATAGTGAAGTATTTACTGATGAAATTATTTGATCACTTCTGTTTGCCTGAAAAATAATCCAGAGTAGGAAAGGGAATAAGATGGAGCAAGATAGGCCATATATGAGTCGCCTTTGAACTTGAGATACTTGGAGATCTTTTGCACTGTTCTACCACTTCAGTTTTTTTTTTTTTAAGTTTCTTTTTTTAAAGATTTATTTATTTTTATTGAAAAGTCAGATACACAGAGAGCTGGAGAGACAGAGAGGAAAATCTCTCATCCAATGATTCACTCCCCAAGTGACTGCAATGGTCCAAGCTGATCCAATCAGAAGCCAGGAGCCTCCTTTGGGTCTCCCATGCACGTGCAGGGTCGCAAGGCTTTGGGCTGTCCTTGACTGCTTTCCCAGGCCACAAGCAGGGAGCTGGATGGGAAGCGAGTCCACCAGAATTAAAACAGGCGCCCATATGGAACCCTGGCATGCAAGGCAAGGACTTTAGCAACTGGGATACTGTGCCAGGCCCTTAAGTTATTTTTATAGGGCTCAACGCGATAGCGTAATAGTTAAGGTCCTCACCTTGAATGCGCCGGGATCCCTTATGGGTGCAGGTTCTAATCCCAGCAGTGCCACTTTCCATCCAGCTCCCTGCTTGTAGCCTGGGAAAGCAGTCGAGGATGGCCCAGAGCCTTGGGATCCTGCACCTGTGTGGGAGACCTGGAGGAAGCTCCTGGCTCCTGGCTCCAGATCTGCACAACACCGGCCATTGCATCCACTTGGGGAGTGAATCAACGGACGGAAGATCTTCCTCTCTGTCTCTCCTCCTCTCTGTACATCTGCCTTTCCAATAAAGTAAATAAATCTTTTAAAAAAGTTATTTTTATAAAACTTTTGAATCTTAAAGAAAATTTCCACTCTGCACCCTCTAGCAGTCTTATAAAATTGCCCACTTGAGTGGACCCTCAGAGCATCAGGGACCTGGGATGGGTGGGGCTTCTCCCTTTTTTTCTCTCCCCTTGCCCTAGATACAGAAGAAAATAATAATAATAACTTAGAGGCAGTGATCTTACCCACTTTCCTGTAGCCCTTGACCCTTTGTGCCCTGATCAACTATGTAAAGACTGTCAAAATAATTACAAGAAAAACCTGCCCCGTGAGATGAGACCCCTTTCTCCAGCCTGCTTTGGGCACTGGCTGGGTAGCTGTGTGATGAACCCAAGTGGCCCTTGGCATCCAGGCCTTTCCCATAGCACCTTGTTCTGCCCCCGCCCACAGGGCATGCTGGTCTTCATCATCAGTGGCCTTGTCATCCTGGCTTACTGCTCCCAGGCCAGCAATGAGAGGACATACCAGGAGGTGGTGTGGGCTGTGTGTGGCAAGCTGACAGGCGTGCTGTGCGAGGTAGCCATTGCTGTATACACCTTTGGCACTTGCATCGCTTTCCTCATCATCATCGGAGACCAGCAAGACAAGAGTAAGGTTCCCTCTAGGTTCCCGTTTCATCTCTCCCCCTTCAGTCCTGGGGATCCCGAGAGAAGGGGAGGGAAACGGTACCCAGGCTTTCTTGGGACCACCCAAGAGTCCTTCTCACAGGTTGCTGGGCCCAAGAGACGGGAGAGGGTGCTGCCAGGGTTCCCCTCAGCACAAGGGCCATGCACTATTGTGGCCTGGCGTGACATTTCCTCCTCCCTCCCTGTGCAGTAATAGCTGTGATGGCAAAGAAGCCAGATGCAGCTGCTGACGGCCCCTGGTACATGGACCGCAAGTTCACCATCAGCCTCACAGCCTTCCTCTTCATCCTACCCCTCTCCATCCCCCGTGAGATTGGCTTCCAGAAATATGCCAGGTAAGGAGGCCCCACCCAGCCTGTGCCAGACAGAAATTCTGATCATAGACAGCTTGAGGCCCAAGGGCTGCTGAGAGCCAACCCCATCCTCCACACTACCTCACCTTCCTAGGCAAAGCAGACTGGACCAGGGTTGCAGAGTCCCAGGCTTAAGACCTTCTTTCTCTGTCCATGACAAGGGGGACAATATCCTCTTGCATTCATGAGTCAGTCAGTTCTAAATATGCCATGTCAGAGAAGGGGTGAGGGAGAGCTGGAATGGGATGTGGATTCTGCTGGCCTTGACTTTGGATCTGGGGTGGATGGGGTCTGTGAGATTTGGAGACCGCCAGCCTGCCAGCATCTTTGACACAGTGTGGTGTGAAGGAGAGAGCCCAGCTTCCTGGCTCCATGTCTGTAGAGCTGAGGGATTCCAGTCTGTAAAGGAGTCCCCCTTGGCTGTCTCCAAGGTCCCTAGAAGTCTCAGCATCGCAGTATCTATCCTCCAAGTGCTTAACTTACATTGTCACCGGATTCTCCGAGGCCGGGTTCCGAGGACAGCCCTTGCCAAGTTTGGGCTCCTCTGAAATCCCAGATGTGCTCTGGATCCCAGCTCTCCAGAAATGCCCAGCAAGTCCCCATTCCCTGGCCAGCTCCCTCCCCGCTCGATCAGTTCTCAGATATTTTCCAAGTGTCTTTAGGCACAATTGCCCTGGTGTTCAGTGTGCACCTGTGGTCACCAGAGTTGCAGGTGGGCAGCCCTGAGGGGAAAAGCAGAGAAGAAACAACTCGGTCTCTCCCTCCCTCAGCTTTCTGAGCGTCGTGGGCACCTGGTATGTCACCGCCATCATTATCATCAAATACATCTGGCCAGATAAAGAGATGACTCCTAGGGACATCCTAACCAGGTAGGTGTGGCCTCCCAGGAGACATCTGGGCTAGAGGCCACCAGCTGGGGCCAAGCTTTCGGAGGCCACACAGGTGCCCTTCCTGAGGCCTATAAAGTCACTCATTAGGGCTGTCTGTGGCCACAGTAGGAAGAAGGCTGGAGAACCAAATGGTGGGATACCGTGCCACTAACAGTCAACAGATGAACCAGTGTGGGACTGCCAAGGGGTAAACGTACCTCTTCCCAACTTGGGCTTATCTGTGATTTTCATAGGAGGGCGACTTGGGTCTATCATCTAAAGAGGGGGGGAAAAAATCTGGGACAAACCAGAAACAGACATCAGTTCAGAAGCCAAGAATTCTGCACTGTTAATTCCCCAAGGACCTTGTAGAACCTTAGGGTGCTGACTCATTGGGTCTCCTGTGAGACCCCTTCCCAGATGAAGGCAGGTTACATGTGGAGAACTGCAGGTGGCTGGAGGCAGTGGTGGGATGGATGAAGAGTCAGGCCTGGGGCCTGTGGGTGGTCCCAAGTTCTTCTTAAGTAGCAGCACCTCATGTGTTTTTCCACAGGCCGGCTTCCTGGATGGCTGTATTCAATGCCATGCCTACCATCTGCTTTGGATTTCAGGTGCTACTTGCAAGGTCCCCACTGTACCCTTAGCTTACCCCTGCCATGGGATGAAATCCCATTACATGGAATAGAGGGGATCCTGGGAGGAAAGATGGAGCAGGGATCCTAAGACAAGACCCTTTATCCTTAAGGTCTTTTTATTTGTTCATTTGTTTTATTTAAGATTTGCTTACTCGGAGGGGTAAAGGTACAGGGAGAGGCAGAGAGCTCTTCTTCCACTCACCTGTTCACTTCCCAAGTGCCCACAGCTGGGCCTGGGCCAGGACAGAGCAGACCTAGGAACTCCCATCAGGGTCTTTCATGTGGATAGCAGGAAGCCAAGTACTTGGGCCACCATCTCATGCCTTTCCAAGCACATTATCAGGAAGCATTATAGGAGGTGGAGGAGCCGAGCTCAAACTGGTCCTCCCATGTGGTTTTCTGGCATCCCAAATGGCAACTTACCATGTTGCACCACCACACCCACCCCAGTCCCTGTCATCTCTGTCCTCAGGGTACCTCCCTTTAGAAACTGGGGGTGAGGTCCCTCTCCCCCATGACCATGTGCTTCACACGAACAGTGCCACGTGAGCAGTGTGCCCGTCTTCAACAGCATGCGGAGGCCCAAGGTGAAAACCTGGGGCTGGGTGGTGACAGCCGCCATGGTCATTGCCCTCGCTGTCTACATGGGCACAGGTGAGTGCTCCCACCCTCCCACGTTGAGTTCCGGGGTCCTCTAGCCACAACTGTCTGGGGAGACAGCCCTGTGCTTCCAGCATGACAAAACTCTTCTGTGGGCCCTGGCTGGAACTTGCCTTGGGAAGTGTGTGGCTACCCATTCACTTCCCAGTTTCCATTGCTACTAAGTGTAGGGAGCTGTTCTCAGCATGGGGAATGCCACAGGAGACAGTAAGACCTGGTCCTGCACTGGTGGCATTGATGCCCTGTGGCCAGAGTCGGTGGGGCACTTGCGACAGTGGCTGGTGCCATGGTGACCATGAAGCCCAGAAGATGCACATGGAATGGGGGCAGGGCCAGATTGGGGGGTGATTGAAAGCCCCTCTCTGAGGAGGCTGCATTTGAAGAAGCCCCAAATGATGAGCAGGAGCTAGAACATGAGAAGTTAGGAGCAGTGTTTTCTTTAAAAAAAAAAAAAAAAAAAAAAAAAAAACAAGATTTATTTTCACTGGAAAGGCAGATTTATAGAGAGGAGGAGAGACAAAAGACAAAAGAGTTCCCATCCACTGGTTCACTCCCTAAATGTCTGCGATGGCTAGAGCTGAACCGATCCAAAGCAAGGGGCCAAGAGCTTCTTCCTGGTCTCCCAAATGCAAGTAGGGTCCCAAGGCTTTGGGTTGTCCTCCCTGCTTCCTCTAAGCAGGGAGCTGGATGGGAAGTAGAACAGTCAGGACACAAACTGGTGCCAATATGGGATGTCAGCACTTGCAGGTAGAGGACTAGCCAGTTGAGCCATCACACCAGCCCCGGGAGAGGCATGTTGCAGATGGAGGAACCGCACAGTGCCACACACACGGGGGTCTGTGTGGCTGGAGTGCTGTGTTTACAGGTAGTGGGCAGGGAAGCCAGGTTCATGGCTTGGAGCAGATGTTGGTGGGAGCCAAGAAGCAGCATCTTGACCTGGGGTGTGTGGGAGACAGGCTTGACCACTGAAAAAAGTGCTGAGAGGTGAGGGCCAGGAAGAATTGTGTGTTGTTCCTGCTGTGGTGGAGCCGCAGGGGCCACCTGCACCCATAGCCGGGAACAAGGGCTGCAAAGAGCGTCCCTCTTCCCCCAGGGCTCATTAGGTGGAGCAGGCAGACAGGCAGGGAGAAAATGGAGCGAGGGGATGTGAGTGAAGGTCCTAGCAGGGGTGATGGGGGCTGGGCTGGGCAGGGCCGAGTTCTCCAAGCTGAGACCCTAAAAATGACTGGATGGTAATGCAAGGAGCTGGGCAGATGATGGGTCACCCAGAGGCTCCAAGATGGGAGCACAGTGGGCGTGTTCAGGGTCGGCAGAGAGATGCATGAGGCCGGAAAGAGAAGGCCTTCTCTGCAGACCTTGCGGAGACCAGACCCCTTCCACCTTCCCCGGCTGCCCCGACTCACACCTCTCTCCCGGCCACAGGCATCTGCGGCTTCCTGACCTTCGGGGCTGCCGTGGACCCGGACGTGCTCCTGTCCTACCCGTCGGAGGACATGGCGGTGGCCGTGGCCCGAGCCTTCATCATCCTGAGCGTGCTCACCTCCTACCCCATCCTGCACTTTTGTGGGCGGTGAGCCATCACCCCTCCCTTGTGCTGCTGGGGCCCTGTGAGTGCATGCTGTGTGGTCCTTACACCCTGTGTGCATTGGCCCAATGCCACAGAAGGAAGACTGACCGCTGTGCTGGCCACCGCAGCCCCGAGTCCTCAGGATCCCTAGGCCCTAGCCTTGCCTGAGCTTTCATGCAGACATCCTCAGGGGAACCCCAGGCCATGACTGCCTTCTAAGGGAAATAACTGGTGCTTTCCGACCAGGCCCGCAAAGCACCAAGCCCCTCCCAGCCAGCGTCTCATCCATTACCCTTGGCCACCGCAGCCCATTCCCCAAGGCAGCATATGGAGGCTTTACCCACGGGCTACCCAGGGAGGGCTCTGGCTGCTGGAAGCCAGCACCTGGCGGAGGGGGGTTTGGAGGGGCGTTACCAGGGGCGCCCCTGAGCCGCTTTCTGTGGACAGGGCGGTGGTGGAAGGCCTGTGGCTGCGCTACCAGGGGACGCCAGTGGAGGAGGACGTGGGGCGGGAACGGCGGCGGCGGGTGCTACAGACGCTGCTCTGGTTCCTGCTCACGCTGCTGCTGGCGCTCTTCATCCCGGACATCGGCAAGGTCATCTCCGTGGTCGGAGGCCTGGCCGCCTGCTTCATCTTCATCTTCCCAGGTTCGGATCCCCCCACGCCGGGGGACGGCCCTGAGCTTGCATCCCCTCAGACCCAGACCTGAGTCAGGAGCCGGCCCTGCTCTTCCTGGCAGCCATTGCTCCTTGGCCCTCAGCATCCCGCCAGCTCTCTCTGTGGCACCCTGTGGGGGGGAGGGGTCTGTGACGACACCCTGAGGCCACCATTCAGCAGCCTGCATCCCGCACCCCGTCTGCTGCCAGAGCCCAAGGAGCTCTCCTGCCCACCAGCCACAACTCCCACCTGTGCCCTAGCTTATCACCAACCGAGAGGTTACTCCCATAAGCCCTTGATACTTTGCCTGGATCAGCGGGAGCCCCATGGGCTCAGAAAGACACTGAAAGGCAGCTGAGGTGTGGGCTGCACGGAGCCATCATGTGGGGCCCTGCGGGTCTGCCAAGCACCCCTGGCAAGACGGATGCCAGGCCAGCAGCTGCCTCCCCCAAGGGGGATGGGGCAGGAGGAGAGAGGGAATGTCCCTGCCCCGCAGACTCTCAGGGTCCCCTCTTCCTTCCCAGGGCTCTGCCTCATCCAAGCCAAGCTGTCAGAGATGGAAGAAGTCAAACCAGCCAGGTAAAGCAGAACCCAGCCTGGGGTCCTCTCAGGGAGACAGTAGGTGGCACTGGCAGGGGGAAGGAAGTGGGTGCTGGGAAGTCTTAAAATGGGCTGCATTAAGAGACTTGGGAGTTTTAAGATATGCTTTATGAAATTAGGTCTTGGGCCCAGCACAGTATCCTCATTTTTTAATTTTTAAAAAATTTTAATTAAATCTTTGAGGGCCCAGCATCGTAGCCTAGTGGCAAAAGTCCTCACCATGCATGCACTAGGATCCCATATGGGCGCTGGTTCTAACCCTGGCAGCTCCACTTCCCATCCAGCTCCCTGCTTGTGGCCTGGGAAAGCAGTCGAGGACAGCCCAAAGCCTTGGGACAGTGCACCCGTGTGGGAGACCTGGAGGAAGTTCTAGGCTCCTGGCTTTGGATCGGCACAGCACCAGCCGTCACGCTCACTTGGGGAGTGAATCATCCGATGGAAGATCTTCCTCTCTATCTCTCCAGCTCTCTGTATATCTGACGTTGTAATAAAAATAAAATAAATCTTTTTAAAAAAAGATTTATTTATTTGAAAGAGAGCGAGAGAGAGACAGAGAGATCTTCCACTGTTTCACCACCCAAATGACCAAAGCGGCTGGAACTGAGCTGATCTGAAGCCAGGGCCTTGGAATTTCTTCTGGGTTTCCCACAAATGTTCAGGGACCCGAGGACTTGGACCGATTTTCCTCTCCTTTCCCAGGCATGTTAGCAAGGAGCTGGATGGGAAATGGAGCATCTACGACTTAAACTAGCACTCATGGGATGCCAGTGCTTCAGACAGAAGCTTAGCTTGCTATGCCATACTGCCATTCCCAGTATTTTTTAAAAAATATTTATTTACTTTTATTGTAAAATCAGATTTACAGAGAGAAGGAGAGACAGAAAGATCTTCCATCTGCTAATTCACTCCCAAAGTGGTCACAACAGCTGGAGCTGAGCCAATCTGAAGCTAAGAATCAGGAAATTCTTGCGGGTCTCCCAGATGGGTGCAGGGTCCCAAGGCTTTGGGTTGTCCTCTTCTGCTTTCCCAGGCCACAGACAGGGAGCTGAAAGGGAAGAGGAGCAGCTGGGATACAAACCAGCACTGATATGGGATCTCGGCTCATGCCAGATGAAGGCTTTAGCCACTAGGCTACTGTGCTGGGCCCACCGGTATTTTTCTTTTATAAATTTTTATCTGTGATAGCCATCACAATTTTAAAAATAATGGACTGTAGAAAAGAAGTGACGTCCCTCATCTTCACTGATCACCTCTACCCCCATCCTGTATCATTCTGAAACGGCTCTGATACCAGCTTTCTCAGCCGCTTCCCTGCGAGTCTGGGTGTGTCTGCGCACAGTGCTGTACGCGCGTGTCAGTGGTTTCATGGCAGACACGTTTTCCAGCAGCTTCCCCGCTCCCTGCCTTTCAACCGTGTCTCGGTCATCACTCCGTCAGCAGAAGGTCTGGGGGAGGCACGCACTATGGTGTAGCCGGCGAAGCCACACCTTGCAAGGCCGTTGTCCCATTTCAAAATGCTGCTTCAGTCCCAGATACTGCTTCCCGTTCAGCTTCCATCAGATGTGGTACTTGCCACCCACACGGGAGATCAAGGTGCATTGGCCGGGCCCAGCCCTGGTTATTGTGGCCGTTTGGGGAGTGAGCCAGTGGGAGAAGATCTCTTTCTTTCCCTGTCTCTGTTGCTCTGGCTTTCGAATAAATTTGTGAGTAAACTTTAAGGGAAAAAAAAAAAAGATTTAATGGCTGCAAGGTCTTCAGTTATATAAATGCTGACATTTGAAAGGTACAGCGAGAGGCAGATCTCAGGTTACTTGGTTCAATCCCAGAATATGTGCAACAGCCAGGTCAGGACCAGTCTAAAGCCAGGAACCAGAAACTCCAGCCTGGTCTGCTACGTGGAAGCAGCGTCCCAAGCACTTGAGCTGTTAGCTGCTGCCTTCCTGGCTCATTAGCAGGAAGCTAGACCTGAAGCAAAATGTCTGAGACTCAAAACAGGCAGGATGATACAGGATGCAGCGTGCTGGTCTGCGGCTTATCCCACTGTACCACAGCCTGTGGACATTTTTATATATCTGTTCCAGGGTTTGAGTAGAACCTTTTTTTTAAACTACCTATTTTACTAATTTCAAAGACAGTTACAGAGAAGGAAAGATACCATCCCTGCTTTATTCCCCAAATAGCCACTGTGGTTGGGGCTAAACCAGGCCAAAACCAGAAGCCAGGTGCTTCTGTGGCATCTCCTCCGTGGGTGCAGGGGCCCAACGCTGAGGCTGTCTTCCTCTGCTTTCCCAGGCTACGTTAGCAGAGAGCTGGGTGGGGGGGTCTCAAGCCAGCACCTAAGTTTGAGAGTCTGGCATTGCAAGCACCAACTTACTCCGCTACACCGTAGCCCTGGCCCCCCACCCCTGCTTTTTGTGCCTTTTATTATTGTTACTATGGAAACATTAACCAATTGATGTGCTTTTTCCTGAACATCTTTTCCCATTGGGAGGCCTGCATTCTAACCCAGGACCTGCCCCTGTTGTGCTGTGCCCAGTCCGTCTTGACCTCCTTACCTGGAAGCCAGGGATAACACTCCTGACTACCTGGTGTGTTTGGGCTGTCCTTGGGAACTGAGCAGGAGAAGTGGTGTGACTGCAGGAACCAACTATTAACTCCATTGGTGTAGCCAGGTGATGGGATGATTGCTCAGACCTCTGTCACCCTCTGCCCTACAGCTGGTGGGCGCTGGTCAGTTATGGAGTCCTCTTGGTCACCATGGGAGCCTTCATCTTCGGCCAGACCACAGCCAACGCCATCTTTGTGGATCTCTTGGCATGATCGCTGCCTCCCAGGAGACCCGGGGCCTCTGCTGCTGGACCCAGGAAGCTGTCTCCAAGAACCATGGGACTACCCCAAGGATGACATCCTGCCATCGGGCTGGACTGACATCTGTGCATCCCTCCCTGGGAGCAGTTCCAAGCAGAATCGGGCCCCACACCTCTGGACAGCTCGGACCTCCTTCCTCCCTGCTCTCCAGTCCTGGCAGTGTGGGGGTGATGGCAGAAGAACTGTCTCCTATCTCAGAGAAGCCTAGAACCCAGCAATGGCAGAGGAAGGAGGAAGCCGGTCTCACTTCCCGCTGTGAGCAAAGGGCCGCCCCCACCAGGCTCCACAGAGCCACCTGTCCGGGCTAGGGCCACATTCACTCCTGTAGGCTTAGCACCCGCTCCTGCCCGTTGGCACCGGGGCTTCCTCTGCCCCTCCCGAGGGAGCGCTGAAACCACACAAACATGCAGAGGCGAGTGGATTCAGGCCTGCCTATCCCACAACCCCCACTGCACCCGCCAAGAGGCCCCCGCAGCCTCCCTCCTGTGGCTAATTGACCCTTCCCAAAGCTGCAGGGTCCCCACCCTTCCTCTGTCTCCATTCCCAGTGGTCCCAGCTCATCTCCCTTCCTCTTCAGACATCACCAAGTCTAATGTTTACAAACGGTGCCAGCCTGGCCCCGAAACCAGGGCCCGCCTCGTGCCGCCACGGTGCTGTGTGTATTGCTCCGTTAGCTTTTCCACAGGCAGGCAGGGGAAGTCCGCTTTTCTCTGCCAGACTCTGGGTGGCCTTGCTTAGAGGTGCCAGGGCAGGCAGTGGAGAGAGCCTCCAGCTGGCCAGGATCAGAGGAAAGTTCAAGGGCGTTTCCCTTAGCACCTCCCTTCTCCCCCAGCCAGACCTACCCTGATCAGATAGAGAGGGCTGCAGCTGGGTTGGCACTGAGGGGGTCACTTGGAGCCCAGTCCCCACCCTTGCTGGGGCTGCTCGCTCACACCTCCATCCACCCAGCCCCCATCACTGCTTCACCTCCTGACCATTCTCCCTGGGTAGCTGCCTCCTCTCACCTAAAGGTTTTCTGGGGCTGGGAGGATGCCAGACCCTATTAGCATCATTGCCCTCAGTGTCTATCAGTGGCCTGTCAGTCACATTGAATCCTCCCTGGATTCTTGTCCCAGGCAGGATGTGTAGGGTCATCCTCCCACCCATACACCTGTTTGAACCACCACGGCCCTTCACCTGTCCGTCCAGGTACCCAGTCGGGCTTCTGTGTCCTGGAACCCCAGCATTTCCGTGGGCTGTCCTGCCCCGATCCTCAAGATTGTGTCACACAGCCCTCCTGCCCATCCTCCCCAGCCAGGACAGTTTGATCTAAGGCAAGGAAGCCAGCCAGAGGCAGCTCGCCCGGAGCTCAGCCTGCAACCTGACAGCCGCCTTTCCCCACGTCCCTTCTTGCCCGGGGGCCAGCCCCTCCCCCTCTGCTGTCTTCCCAGCCCCACACCACCCCTGCTAGCATCCATCACCGGAAGACAGCCCACAGGCAGGTCTGCACAACCTGCTTATACCCCCATTTCACACATAGGCAGGCCCCAGTAAGAGCAGAGAAGGAGCTAGAATCTGGCCTCGTGGTCCAACCTCAGGCAGGATCCCCCCTTGCGTGCGCTGCCCTCCCTTCCCCATCAGGACATTTCACGACTTCCACCTGTGCATACTCGGAGGGAGGAGGATGGCTAATAAAAGGGGTCATGCTGCTGAGCTGCGTGCCCTTTGTGCGGGCACAAAGGTGGGGCAGGAGGCCTCTTGTGGCTACTTGGTCTGTCAGATTCAGGTCTCAGGATCGCACCTCTGCTCCTGGCACCAAGCGGGAACCTGCAGGCCACTCCCTTCTCCTCCCAGCCCATCCCAGAATGTGTCCCTGTCCAGGCCAGCCACCTCTGCCTACAGTCATGCCTTTGTTCTGCTTTTCCTGCCTGGCCCCTGCTGCCTGTTGCTCCACAACCATGGATCTTGGGGCTGAACCTATAGCTCTCAAGCTCCTGAGCATCCATCCCTGGGGAGCAGGCCCCTGAGGTCCTGGGCACAGATCCAGTCACCCCGCTCCAATGTGCTCTCAGTGTGGTTGGGCAGGTTGATGCTAAGCAAGCAGTCAACACCAAGGGTGTACTTGAAAACTGTGAAGATCCATATCCTTTGCTGGGGAAATACAGTGTTATCTTTGGGCCTTGGAAATTCAAGGAACTGAGGAAGGCTTCCTAAAGGAAGTACTATTTGTGTGGCCCCTGAATTTACTAAGTAGGGAGAAGTGGGAGCTGCATGTGCAAAGGCCCTGGGGTAGCAGGAACCTGATTTGATCTGGAAAGTGGCCAGTATAGGTGGAGCATTGCCTTGTGTGGACGGAAGGAGCAGCAGAGATGGGGCTAAAGAGTACAATGGCTGCCTCCTGCCCTCAGGGTCAAGGCTAAGCGGCACATCTGCCGCATCCTCCCTCTAAGTGGGAGAAGGGAACTCGGCCACTAACAAAGAAACATGTTGGAAAGTCTGGGCACAGGACAGCTTTGGGCCACAGCTCATGCCTGCCTGGAGGACAGAGAGGAGCTGGACGCTGGGTTCCAGCATGTCCATGGACAGAGAAGAAAAGGTTATGGCTAAGCTGGAGGCAGATCCTGCAGCAGACAGCCACATGCACCTGCCCGTGCATTTTAATGCTCCCCAAGCTGCTAGACATCTGGGCAGTGTCAGTCTCCCATATCAGAGTGTGAGCCACACGGGAGTGGGGGACAGCTTCATCCATCTGCTGTCCTGTCCCAGTGTCCAGCACGTGCCCGGGAGCTGTTGAATGAATGAGCCTGTGTGTGTGTTCCTTCACTGTGCCAGCCCCTCCACCTCATCTGGTCTTCACCACTGCTCTGCAAAGCCAAGGACATGGGGTCATCAGACGAGAGCCCGGCAGCACTCCTACCATGCATAAGGAGCTTGGTGAACCGGAGAGTTGCCACAGAGCCAGCCTCGTGGTTCCCATCCGCAATAACCTGCAAACCCCATGCTGGCACCAGCAGCTGATCTCGGAGCCCTCGCCAGGCAATTGCTGGTGTGTGGCTGTGGGCAGATCACGGTCACTTCTCAGGGACATTGCTCATGTCTGAAATGGGGTTCACAATTTGACCTTCTTAACAGGTTTAAGGAGAGGAGAGGCATTAAAATCAATAAATCACTTCAAATGTGACAGGCCTTGGGGCTAGCACACAGGCCATGGTATAGCATGTTAAGCTGCCTCCTGCGGTGCTGAAGGTGGCTCAAGTGCTTGGGCTGCTGATTCCAGCTTGCCCAGCCCAAGCCATTGGGGCCGTTGTAGCAGAGTAAGCCAGGAGATGGCAGATTGCCGTCTCTCCCTCTCTGTAACTCTGACTTACTTTCAAATAGATTAAGACATCTTTAAGAAAAGCAGCAGGTCCTGTTTACAAAACCCATGTGAAAACCCAGCTTCTCCCCCTGAGGATCTGTGCTGACAGTCACTGGGCCTGGGCTGGGGTCTGAGTTGGCATAGCTTCCGTGGTGCCAGTGTGCCAATGATCTGGTCCACAGAGCAGCGGAGGCCAGATCAGGGCTGAAGCCCAAAGGTGCCTGTTGCACGGTGGGGGAAGTCAGGGAGTGGGTGGGTCACATTTTTTTTTTTTTACTTGAAAGTCAGCTTTACAGAGAAGAAAAGACAAAGATCTTCCCATCCACTGGCTCATTCCCAAAATGGCCACAGTGGCCAGAACTGAACTGATCAAAAGCTTCCTCAGAGTCTCCAACATGGGTGCAGGGGCCCCCGGAATTGAGCCATCCTCCACTGCTTTCCCAGGCCATAAGCAAAGAGCTGGATCTGGAAGTGTAGCAGCCAAGCCACGAACCTGTGTGCATATAAAATGCTGACGCTTGAAGGTAGAGGATTAGCCAGTTGAGCCACCACACCAGCCCTGTGGCTTTAGTCCTTGAGTGATGTTTCTGACATGCAGTAAGTTCGATGATGCCCATCTTGGTTTTGCTTTTTAAAATTTTTTCTATTTGTTGTTTTATTTTGTTGTTATTGTTATTAATGATGATTATGCCTGTCTTGAAGATATAGTTGCTACAACCCCTGAAGATAAATAGCGTTGTAACACTAGCAGGCTGAGGGTGAGCACACAGCTGCAGTAGGTTCTTGTGGTCCCTAGAGGGCGCCATTGCATCGTTGCTTCTGATGTAGGGACGGAAGCTTCGGATTGCCAGGGCCCTTGGAGATGGCTGCTGCTGCCCCAGGTGGGTGACACTGCTGTGTGAGGACAAGGTCCCTTCTAAGTCAAGGCCTGCAGGTCTGGAGGGGAATCAGGTCACACTACTACAGACACTGATCACGTGGGTGTAGGTGTAGGATGCAGATATATACAAACCTCGATTTGGTCATAATTCCCGGGTATGATACATGAAAAAATCTTTGGTAAATGTGGAAGAGACTGGGCAGCCAGAAGTCAGACCCGTATCCTCCAAACAGATCTCCTAGAGGAGGGCCCAGAAGATGCCGACACCTGCATGACGTGTCAGAGTACCCGGTTACAAAACCCAGCTCTAGCTTTTTTTTAAATCTATAAATTTATTTCAAAGTTACTTTTGCAGATGCATTAATATTTAATAGGCATAAATTGTAGAGAAGGGGCCAGCACTGTGGCATAGCCAGTTAAATCTCCCTCTGCAGTGCCAGCAACTCATAAACACTGATTGAAGTCCCTACTATACTTTTTTTTTTAAATTGAAAAGCAGGTATACAGAGAGGAGGAGAGACAGCGAGGAAGCTCTTCCATGCGATGGCTCACTCCCCAAGTGGCCACAACAGTTGGAGCTGAGCCCATCCGAAGCCCGATGTAGTGGCCTAGTGACTAAAAGTCCTCGCCTTGACCGTGCTGGGATCCCTTATGGGCGCTGGTTCTAATCCCGGCAGCCCCGCTTCCCTTCCAGCTCCCTGCCTGTGGCCCGGGAAAGCAGTCAAGGACTGCCCAAAGCTTTGGGACCCTGCACCCGCGTGGGAGACCTGGAGGAGCTCCTGACTCCTGGCTTCGGATTGCCTCAGCACCGTCCGTTGTGCTCACTTGGGGAGTGAATCATCGGACGGAA